ATTCTTTGTATTTCTGTAGTGTTGGACAAGAAGCCATGCCTTGTATTACTCAAACAGAAGCATTGGAGGTTGAGTTCAGAAATGTTTTCACTACACTTGTCTTTCAAAGAATTCCTATATGACCTGGAAACGAATTTGGCCATCTATTCGTAACCATAAAGCTCGATCAGAGCAAACTACCAGAAAATTCTAAAATTTTATCGTGATTTAATGAAAGCAAACAAAAGGCAAAAATGGAGAAAAAGGCAGCATTCTGTGGAATTACTTAATCGAATAGGACAGGGGGTTGAGGTGTTCCTATAACGTGACATACTTAACTTGACGTTACGCCGCAGTCTCCCCCGGATTCTATATCTATCCATTTTCAGAAAGCTCGTGTGATCCCATTGGTAATAGGAATTTGGTGAAATTTTCGAGTACTGTTGCATATTGACTCGTCATTAGAAATATGACTTTTGTTTGCTTTTTTCAAATCACGAATAAAATTTTAGAAAGAAATTCCACAAACTTTTGGATCAACCCTCGTATATTCGAGTTGATAGGTCACATGTCATTCCAAGAAATCCTTAGTAATAAAAAGCCTTCCTTTTCAGAGCATCAAAGAGAGTGGTCTTCGTTGGGTCCAAAATGTCAGTGGTTTCCGCCTTCTTGGCTCATTCATGTGCGTTTCCTGATTCTCTGTACAGCAACCACGATCTCTGTGAAAATCTGACGGCTGTGTAAAATCCTTTAAGAATAAAAGTAATCACTTAAATTTTTCTTAAATTGACGTCAGATTGAAAACCTCAAAGATGATATACTATAGTTTTCCCCTTTAATCTCAATATGATAATATTTTGCCTTGTGTTCATATGAATTTTTTCACAAGATATCCATAAGCCACAATGCTCACCTTGGACCCTAAAGCACTACAATTTTATGTACAAGACATAGCTCACCTGAGCACATTGGCTTGAAAAAAAATTGAGTCAGTCTAGTACTGAAAACCTTCAATTTACAAGTGATCAGAAATGTCCCTCGGGGGCAGATTTATTCACATTTGAATTTAAAGTAACTAAAGATGCTGAAATTCATGGCTTTAGAAAATTTTATTTTGTACTATGTTTGATCTTGAATTCCGGACCTGTCCTACACCCAGTTCAAACAAACCTTACCTAAGGATGATTCTGAATTGATTTGACTTATCACAGATCGACTTGCTATTCTTCAGAAGAAGATTATAACCATATACCCTAGCTATGTATTATCATGTACAACTTTTATCACCAATTACCGGTTTGAACCCTCATTACCAGATGGTCATAATTTGAACAATCTTGAATATAAACACCTTGGGAATGCTTCCATATAAATATGTGTAATTATTACTTTACTGTTCTTGAGAAGATTTTTAATATGTACTAGTATATCTAGTATTACATTATTTAGGTAAAAATGTTATCGCCTATTGTGGTCCGTACCATACCCCAAAGGTCATGATTTGAAACACGTGTTTGGTTTGAACATATTTTATTGTTTATATGTTACAACAAAAGGATTGGACACAAGTTCTTAAAACTTAGAACGTCCTCTCATTGACACAACCTGAGAATACCATTATTTGTAAGTGTACCACTCTTAGTCGGACACAATCTTGGAGCCCAGAACAAATGTTAAGATATGATAGTAAGATTATCCAGTAAATTAACTATTTAACTTATAAAGTACCATTCTTTGTTTTTATTGTATTTTTTTTTCAGCTTCTTTATATTTTGAAAAATTTGCCAACAAAGTGAAACTACATATAGATCTTCTTACGCAATATTTGTTGGCATCATTCATACCAGTGCAGCTTGTCTTTTTAAAATTGGTACTTTTTTCTTCGAAAATACCGAAAAATGTGACCAGAAAAGCTCACTTGGGCCTTCGGTTCGGGTGAGCTTATAATACTTGGACGAACCCTTTGTTCTTAAACAAGGGAGATTGCGTAATTCAGTGGCACGTTCGTTTTCGGTGAAATTGTGTTTTCTAAAGGTTTACTCGTGCGAAAAATAAAAAAAAATATTAAATTTCATAGACACAATAGGTAATAACTTGGTCGAATCTTAAAGAGTATTGAATATCATAATGTTACCTATTAATTCTTGTTATGAATAAAATAATTTACTTATATGAAAGATGAATATAATGTAAATCATTGGGAAAATGTTGATGTCAAAGATAAAGAGGAAAAGAAAACTGAAGAAAGACAAAAAAAAACCCCCAAAGTTTCATTGTATTTTCCAATTTTAGTTTCTCTAATGAATTCTTGGAAAAAATAACAAAACGATTGCTCTCTATCAAAAGACGAATCTTTGATGAAATTCTGAGATATGAAATAAATGTTAATATAAAGCGACATAGCATTTTGTTTCAATTAAAATGCAGTGCTTTAAATGTCTGACACGTATATATTTTTTTATAAATTTTAACTTTTATACTCAAAGGGTGTAAGCAAGTCATAAAATGTGTACAAATTCACGGATTTCACCTGTATTTATCTGTGTTTCGATGAGTTTGCTCACTTTCTGTCACTGTCAAAGGAACAGGAGTTTGAATTTGTACAAGCATCTTCTTGACCCTGAAAGATACGATCCGAGTATCATGCCGAATTGTGGAGAAGGGGATCATGTAGCTATAACAATTGAGATGGCATTGCGAGATATTGTAGAAATTGATGAAAAACAGCAGTTGATCCGTCTGAAAATATGGATTCGGTTAGAATGGAAGGATTGTATGCTGCAGTGGGATCCCTCAAGTTATCAAAATCGAACCGAGTTGGTTGTGCCTTATTCCAGTATATGGATCCCTGATATAACCCTGTATGAAGGAGTCAGTGATGAAGGGAATATGCCTCACATGGACGTCTACAGGGCCAGCATAAAGCATACTGGGAACGTGATGTACATGTTCCCAAGCATTGTTACGATTGCGTGTCAATTTAATGTGGCGTATTTTCCATTTGATCATCAAATATGCAGTATGAAGATCGGCTCTTGGATTTACTCTGCAAAGAATATCGAGATGAAAAGTATCAGAAACGATGTGGATATTTCCAGTTTCAGGACACACAATGAGTGGGATATAGTGGGGTCTGCAGCAGTGGCGCACAATGTTTATTACGGTTGCTGCCCTGAGCCATACTCTGACGTGACATTCCATATACATATAAGAAGAAAACCTCTGTTTTATGTCATAACTATCATTTTCCCCTGTTTTCTGATCAATTTATTAAGTTTCATGGGTTTTGTGCTACCGTCATTCTCTGCCGAGAAAATTTCGTTACAGGTCACGGTTCTCCTATCTGTAACCGTATTCCTGTTACTTGTTCAAGACAAATTTCCATCAGTGTCTGAAAATTTCCCCCTCCTCGCCATGTATTTTGCAATTTGCATGGTACTCGTATGCATATCATGTATTTTTTCAAGTATAGTTTTACATGTGTATTATAGATCGTCAGAGGAACATGAAATCTCCCCTTTGATCTACTCTATGTGCTTGGACAAATGTCGAAAGATGTTGTGCATAAAATTCGATAATATCCTGAAACCAGTTAAGAGTGTAGGCCCCCGTGAAGAGGAAATACGGTTTGAAAGACATGGCTGTTGGAATTGCTCAAACCTTTCCAGTGAAAATGAAATTCCAATGTGTTCTTCCGAGGAGATTCCAGAATATTCTTCCGATGTCAGACAACAATCAAACCGCCATGACTGCCACAAATGCCACGTCACCAATGAATGGGAACTCATCGCTTGTGTACTGGATCGTTTATTTATGTTTATTTATATTTGTTTGACTATGATCAATAGCATTGTTTTCTTCATCATCATATGGAACTACGAAGAAAGGGACATTCCAACTGATTAATCTAAAAAAAAGTTTTATGGCTTAATTTTTTTAGGCATTAATATTTAAACATTCATACAGCATGGCATAATTCTAACATTTAGTGGCCGTTTCGCTTCTAAGAGAAGTACTAGTATTGTTTTCTGAATGTAAAATTAAAATACTTTTAGTTGCTATGCATATGGGAACATAAATACATATCATAATAGAAGATCTGTACATAGTTAAATATTTGAATATTTTCCAAATATATTATAAAAAAATATATATATGATATGTAAAATCTTCATTAAAAAACACTGAGGATGAGGTAAACAAACTGCATTTTTATAATGATTTAATAAAAGTGTTTCATATATGTATGACAATGCAAATGGCGTGATTTGGATTCTAAAAGCTTTTTAATTTACGTTTTCCTTTCAGTGTCACTGCTACAATTTCTAAAGGTGTATTGAGTAACTTAATAGTATATTTAATACTGGAACCATATAACACATAATTATATTAACATGCGACTGCTTTATGTTTAAACATGCAAAATAATTTCATATACAACCAATCTCTTTAGAGAATCTGATTTTATTGTTGACAGTCTTATATATTATTGTAATTATATGACATCATACAGTCAAGATGCAGCATAATTACATATTACATGTATATTGTAGAACTCTAGTAACATCTCTATATTTAGCGTGTTGACAAAAATAAGTTGCACGCAGCAATTTACCAACAGTAATTTTGTAATGAAATATATGGAGAAAACGAAACGTTATTCAAGCTCAAATGTCCATAAAAACAATACAAAATAGGAGCAGAGCAAACATCAGAGGTGGGATCAGGTGCCATAGAGGAGTGAGCACCACTACCGACCGGTCACACCCGCCGTGTGCTCCTTGTCATGATCTGGAAATAACTTAAAAATTCGTCGTCAATTCAGTGTGTAAATAATGGGATAACAGTTAGTATGAAAAACGTCAATCAGCATTTGAATTAATGATAAATTATATTTGCATACAAGATCATTGTGTCGACCATAGAACTTACGAAATGATACTGCTGATATTCTTGTTTCATCAACTTATTTGTCAATAATATACCTAGTTTTAGAAATTGTACATACATAGAGCATGCTCTTGAGCATTGAATCAACTGAGAGATATAAACAGGCGATGGAGGTATATTGCCTGTAATCATAATGATTATGAATATACATGTAGACATGATTATCTTAATGCAATTCAACACACTACGTTAGACACCGTTGCAAATACAACGAAAATCGAAGAAAAACCAATAGTCGTTAAACATGACGCTAAATTATGCACTTATGTCTTTTTTAACCATGTATATAATTTTTTTAAAAATATAATAGATTTCAACATATAATTGAATATTGACGTTGATTTATCATACTTTTCAGCTTCTTGATTATTAATTTTGGATGTTATTTTTCATGAAATTGCCATTTCTTACTCTTTTTTTACAATAAACATAAATAAATTAATTATTCAAATTTATATTTTACCTTTTGAGTTTTTTTTTAAAAACCGAGACCGAACTTTGACACATTAAAATTATTTAGCTTATATAACTGGTCTCATAAATTCTAGGATAATGAGCGTCGTTAAGCCATTTTTCCACCAGATGTGAATGTGTGTCCGATGTGTTTACTTCTTTAGTCTTTTATTTCTGTTTTTCATTTTAACCTAAAATTTTTGGAGACACGGGAGAATCATTTTTTCATTTATTCCTCATCCATAAATACAGGTAAGAGTCTGAACCACATTCATTACTGTATTTCATTTTCACTTAGCTTTGTTTTTAATCAGCTCATTAAAACTTAAAAATTTAATATTTGAAAAAGAGGACGTGTACGTTTAGTGTATACTGTGCATATTTAAAATCTTATCCTTCCTAATATTTCATTTCTTAGATAGTGATCTAAAAGTTAATATGAAAATTTATATTTCAAAAAAAATGACTGGCCTCAGTAGAATAAAGACAGTGGTTGGTTTTCGACGCCTTGAAAGACCCCTTTTCTGTAGAGCAATATAATTTGTAAATTTTTGTCCAAAGATATGTCCAAATATACCTAATGTACAAGTCCTTTTTTAAGAAAAAAAAATGTTCGTTACTTATGCATTTTAGTGTAAAAAAAATTCTTCATAGTCCACACTACAAAATATGAGCTTGATCATCGAATTTGGTTGATATTCTGAAGATATTTCGGACAAAATTAATTTCATTTAATATTTCACACGTAGTAGGCAAGGAGGTTAAATTCTTAACTCATTAAGGGGAAAAAAGTGATGCACATGTGCAAGTATTCAGCTCCCTACTTTCTAATTAGTGTTATGATTAATTACATCCTACGACAAGGGCATTTTGTTGTACATTATGAGATTTAATTAAATTCAGAATTTAAAATTCCTTTTCAAAGAATAAAGTTATAAATCAACATTCCAAATATTCAGTTGCTGGAAATAAAAAAAAAATACCCTGCATCTTTTTTTTATAATGTAACTGCATAAAAATGTATATATTTTCAGTTCCTCTAAATAATTATCTTTTTGTGTGCATTTAAAGAGAGTTCAGCTTTCCTTATCTTATGAGAAAGGAAAATGTGATGAATTTAATATAAACTTATTAAATTTGATTTCACAATAAATACGAAAGGAATATCTCAATGGATTGTTTAAATTTAATTTGAAATTTTCATTCCTTGCAATTTGGTTTCAGTCAGATGGGTCATATTTCATCCACGACAATGATAAAAAGCCTTACAATTTCGGTTCTGGTTTTGTCAGCACAAGGTACAGTATTTTTTTTCTTTGATTTACACTTACTTAATCCATCAAAAAGTCAGAAGGAGGCAAAGAAATTCTGCAGTAGTGTGTCAAAATTTTACTCTCAAGGCACGTTATTATTGCTTTAAGTTCTAAGAAAAAAAATTTGCTACGTGAAATTACCTTGAAAAATGACATTTACATAAATGTAAATGCTCAGTAAAATACACTATGGTCTATGGATGCAATTCCTTAGGTTCAAAATAGGAAAAAAAACAAGAGATTTTGTAGATACGTGAAATACAAAAAAAATTATCTTGCTAAAAATAATAGCTATTTGTAGTATTTTTGACCTACGTGTGACTGTCAAATATTAACAATATCCTTTCGCTTTCAAAGGATTATTGTTTTCCGAACCAAAGGAAGTCTGTTATGCAAGGATCGGGTGTTTCAGCAACGCAAGGCCATTTGACAACACCAAGGGGACGCTTCCAGATTCCCCGGAAAAGATTCAGCCAACCTTTATGCTCTACACGAGAAAAAACAAAAACACTGCCGAGATCCTAAATCCGTACGACTCCGACACCATTTCAGAGTCTAATTTTACAGCAAGTAGACCTACAGTTTTTATCACACATGGATTTAGAGATACTGCGACGACTGGATGGCCTGTTACTATGAAGGATGCTTTTCTTTTAAAGGTTTGCTATATTATGAGTATTTGGCACTAGGGTAGGTAAATATTAATTCAAGTGAGTCGCCAGATTTCTATAAAGGGGCTGAGGGGATGGTCTACCAGGTATTTTCCCTCCCTTGTTGTGATTATTTGATAGATGTTTTACTTATATGAGACCTCACGATATACCGGTGAGGGATTTTTACTCGGTACTCGGGATCAGTGAAGGACATGACGGTGTAACGTTGAATTTTGACCCGGGTTGAAAATTGACCCGGGGGTCATTTTTCAACGTTGAATACTGAGACTAAAGGTGTTGAATTTAGACCCTAATCCGTTGAAAACTGAGCCGGGTCGTGGAATTTTGATCATGAAACCGGTTCAAAATTCAACAGCATAAAAACACATATTTATGATTGGGTTTTCACTACTGTGACATAATTCATAGGTATGAGGCCCCGTTTTGGTATTTACTGCAAAAAGTAATATCCCCTATTTGAATAAGTGATATCACCTGTTCCAATAGATGATATCACATATTTGATTTGAATTTGTGATATCACCAATTCGAAAAGGTGATATCGCCTATTCGATTGGGTGATATCACCTTTTCCCGTCGAACAGCTGTAGTTTGTTTTTTTTTTGCTTACAGATTAATTTATTTCACTTATATATCATGTTAACAACAAGAAAATCGTAGAAAACGCATGAAAACTGGGTAGTCCGAATTTTCTTGGTTCCAGTGGTAATCTATATATTACAGGGAGCATTCATTATTGACTGTTGTAAGAAACTCAAATAGGTTATATCACCTTTACGAATAGGTGATACCAATTATTCAAATAGGTGATATCACCTTTTATTCTAAGCTCTCTGACTTGATGACATGATTAAGTATATAACAGCATAAAGACTTGAGTTACTATTCATAGAATCTTAAATGCATATTGACTTCATGTTTTTTTTCTTGTGATCATATGCTACATTGCAGGAATCCTTTTAGAAAATTTCATTAAAGTGAGTGACACCCCCCCCCCCCGCCTAGTTTTCTCATAGAACAAGTGTTAAAATGGAGATAATTTTATGTAAAAACAGAAATTGTATTGATTTCTCAATTAAAGATAATACAGAGTGTGACTTGATGTTTCTGAAAAAAAAATTACTACAACTTGTATTAATATTTTTTAATGTTCCGTAATTGATGAGACGTAACAATGCCTTGAAGTCTTGAATTAGGATCTACATGTACTTTATATTAAAACATACTGGATACCTTTGTCAAAAATTGATACGAGACATAATCAAATAATTAAATTAGCATTCTGAATAACTAAATCCTCTATAATTACTCCATCAATGTATAAAACGAAACACATTTATTTAATATTAAACAGCAACAGCTTAATTTATGCTGATCCCTAGTCTCTAAGTCTTGAAGAGAGAAAACTTGTGCCTTATTCCCAAAATTTTCAAATTTTGTTTTGTCAATCTATGTGATAAAATGATTTATATTCGATAAAAATGTGAAACTTTACATTCCTATTTAATTGAGTTAACAACCAATTCCAGTTTAATTTGTCATATTTCCCAGAATGCAATCATGGCAATTATTTAAAAAGAATTAAAAAAAAAAAACATCGCATAGCATAGGAGATCCTAGAGATAAAATTATGTAAATAAGATGAAAAGTTTATCGAATAGGAATCGTATTTTTTCGAATAGAAATGGATGCTATTATGTTTTCGAACAACAACTTTATTGCATATAAACCAAATAATTATCGAATAAAAAAAATAAAATTATCGAATAGGAAGACAAAATTAGCGACTAGCAACCGATTGTTTTAAATATTAATGACATCGAATAGGAAACGCTTGTTTTCGAGAAAAAAATATGTAAATTTTATGATATATGAATCATATTGTCACATTTCCTGTAATTGGAATAGCAATTTATCGAATACAAATTACAAATAATGGAATAGAAATAACAAGTAATCAAATATGAATCACATTCCATAGAATAAGAATATTTTAGAATAAGAATAATCTCATTCTCGAGTTTATGGTCCGAAAGCGATCAATTTTCAAGCCGAGACAGTCTACTGACAAATAAGTTAATTGTTACAGGGATTTCAACAAATTATTTAAAGTCAGCATTACTTACATGCTATGGTCGCTATATTGCTCTTTTCATAAATATAACCTATCACTGGAATCATTTTCGTCGACGTGTTTCATTCTAATTTTTAGGCTATAAATTTTGTTATTTTTATACTGAATTTGACTAGATGGGATGTTCCACCCACCTGATCAATATATATAGGGCTACTTTCTAGACTGCAGATTTTTAAGATTTTTGTTTTATGCCCTATTCGTTGTTTTGTAGTTATTTATGGATGCCATGGATTTTGGAAAGTATTGTCAAAAATAAAGTTGTCATGCTTGAAGATAACTGAAATCGTGCATTGTTCAAAATGTACATGTATACACGGGGTGATACTGTATGTTTATTTCTATTATTCTTGAAAAGGGAAAAATTGAAACCGAAATATAAATAAAGTGATACTGATAAATCCCGTAAAACAACTTCCCAGCTAAAAAAATGTTCAAACTTTGATGTGGGGTCAATATTCAACAGGGTCAATTTTCAACTTGTTGACGTCATCAGGTGTAAGAAAAAAAATATCAAGCTGTTGAAAAATGACCCCGGGTATAAATTCAACGACTTTTAGTTTCAATATTCAACGTTGAAAAATGACCCCGGTTCAATATTCAACGTTGAAAAATGACCCCCGGGTCAATTTTCAACTCGGGTCAATATTCAACGTTACAACGGCACCCAGCGCATCCCATTTTACGACGGTCTTTCATCCGACCAACATGCCTTTACTTATTTGTTGCTTGAAATGGAGCCATTCAGATTCCAAATAGAGACTGTGTTCACTTTGTATTATTTGCAGGGTGACATGAATGTAATACTTGTTGACTGGTCCAAAGGAACAAAAGGTATTAACTACGTGAAGTCTGCAGCAAACACAAGGGTGGTAGGAGCTACTATAGGTAATATGGTGAAAGCCTTGAAAGACACGGCGAACTCACAGCTTAACCAGGTTCACTTAGTTGGACACAGTCTTGGAGCCCAGATTATGGGGTATGCCGGGGACTGGACAAGTACTAATATAAGGATCGGACGAGTCGGAAGAATAACGGGTAGGAAAGGTTTTTGTCCCAATACTAAAAAATCATACTACATCTCTCCTCCTCAAAAGAAAAAAAAATACCAAAACGTTAATGTTTCGCACAACTATTTATGATAACTTTACAAATATTTTTATTTTGATTTTACTTTTAGGTCTAGACCCAGCTGGTTTATATTTTGAAAGATTTGACAACAAAGTGAAACTAGATCCATCTGACGCAATGTTTGTTGACGTCATTCACACGAACGCCGCCTCTCTTTTAAAAATGGGTAATTGTAAAATAATTATTACAACAAATGTAATGATAACCTTATTTTATATCTTTCTTAAATAAATTATATTAAACTAATGTTCAAATAATATATTTTCAGGTTTTGGAATCAGGACACCCAATGGACATGTCGACTTCTATCCAAATGGGGGCCGAAGCCAACCTGGTTGCGACGTGCTTCAGGCAGGATGCAGTCATATGAGGGCCATTCCCTACTTCACAGAGTCTATCAACTCCTCTTGCCAATTTAAGGCTTTTAAGTGTACAGATTATGATGCATTCTTAAATGGAAAATGCACTTCTTGCAGCACTGGCTGCAACAGAATGGGTTACCATGCCAGTAAAAATACACAAGGGAAATTTTATCTGCAAACGAACTCTAAGAGTCCCTTCTGTAAAAGTCAGTGATAAATACTGCAAGATGAATGTTGTAAAAACTGAGGACTGTATCATAATGCACAAGAATTTGAGAAAAAAAATTATCAATGAAATGAATCATGATGGCTTTATTAGGTTAATTAATGGTGATATTAAAACATACCACCAATAACGGTAACACGACCTCCAAACGTTCTGTGAAGTTTATTTAGTGAGTGATGTCTATCGTGTTATTGTCTGATTATGGAATTGTATATTCCGAATTAATTATAAAAAGAACTGATATAGAGAAAAATGATATTATATATACAAATGTATGTTGATAACTTATAAGATAATAAAAAAAAGTATGGTATGTATATCGTTTTATCATTTAAGGTGAGCAAAAATGAAAATCCAGTACAATCCTATGTACATTGAAAATCACATCAAATTTTCTGTCCTGAATTTTCATTGTACATCACTGAAAGCACTGGAGGATTTAGAAGGTTCCCAGAGGGCCTGCCCCCCCCCCCCCCCCCCCTTGCGTGTCCAAAATTTACATAAAGTATTTATAAATATATTTTTTGTGTGGCTGAGGGCCCCTACCCGACCCAAAAATGGTCGCCCTCCCCCTTTCAAGATTCCTGGATCCGCCACTGGGAAGTGTAGCAGGAAAGAAAATGTGTACATGTACATGAAAGACAACATTATGTTTCTACAACAAACTTCCTTTGACATTTATATTTGACAACACTTCTTGGTTCGTTTCTTCACATTCTGTGGGCGACACTGATATTTATCAAGTGGATTTTTCTGTAAGTATACAGTATACCCTTTTTAACAATGGTCAATTATAAATCAAACATTTTGAACAATTGAATAGTGTTAATGATGTTAATATTATTTAAAATGTTTATTTTGATTTATGAATATATAGAGCCAAAAGGACAAAATATAAAAAATCTATTTTTATTTTTTTTTTTAATTTGGTTGTAATTACATTCATGAAAGGTTGAACACGAGAAATAATTTGATTCTAAATAAAATGATCAAAAAGAAATTTAATTCGATAATTTATTTGTTTGTTTAAAAAAAGTTAATACAGTTGCAATCTTATTTACTTACTGAAATTTACAGCTTCCAGTACGCAGACCACAATGACTTTATATTAGAGGTGAACATCAACCAGACGAACTGTCTCAGTCATCACTCATCAACAATGTCGAGCATTTTAATTTTGTGTGCCATTCTTTTCATTGTGGCCATTATCTTTTCTTGTGGGAAACTGATTGATCGACAGTTGGAAAATTTGATTTTTAATCGATGTACCGAAAAAATACATTCGTATATAAGCACTTTTACATCGAAATGTTCGGGGTCTTGCAAATGTTTAAGAGTCCGTGTGAATTACAATGATAACAGTTCAAACACAGATGGAGAAGAAGAATCATCGCCGCCATTTTTTAATGAGAGGGTATCCAATCACTCAATAGAAATACAAGAACACAACATAGGCAATAATTTTGAAACCTCCCAAACTAACCCTGATCTTCTCCCATCCTACGACGACATCGTCCACACCCCTTTTCAACCTCCTCCCAGCTATGAGGAAACCATGAAGTAATGTCTCAAAGCATAACTTTTTCTTTCTCCGTCTCACATAGAATTGTGAAAGTTCGCCATGTTTCTTTAATCTTAGTTGACATACGATACGATCTTATTTACATTAAGTTAGAAATAAATCAAATAAAAAGTTCGACTTAAGTTCTTTTGTTCTGTTTGTTGAAAAATGGAATCCTCATCCAAACATCTTTGAAAATGTACATACATATATACTAGACTTTTTACCTCTGAGATGTGGTCAATGCAATCTAAGCTATTTTCAAAATGAAAGTTTTCAGATAGTACAATTCTCTGTCATCCTTGGACTTTCAGTAAAGCGTGGCATTCTCGACGTCTCTCAAATGGCGAATGGGTTCTCATTGGTTAGGAAAATAATAACATCTGCAACTTTAAATTTTTGTTGACAACGATGAGACGACTTAAGCCCCACCTCTCTGCCGGACGAAACGTTGTCATTGAATAACTGCTACACTCGTTGACATTCGCCCGAATGTCTATCCCATATATATTTCAACAGTGAATGAAAGACTGTGTTTTCAGACGCTAATTATGTAACGTCGAGAGTGCCACGCCTTACTGAAAGTCCAAGCTTAACTGAGAATTGCACTAAGATCCAAATCTAGTGGAATAACTTTACCAACTTCCAAAATTGTATTGTACTTTGGTTCTGGTTTCCAGTATCAAAATCGTGGGGTAAAAGCCTGGAAAACAGATATTTATGGGACTACATGCTTTTCTTTTGTTTATTGAATGCAACTGATTGTTGTGCGCTTGTCGTAACGAAATACATGTAGGTATTGTAGCATTACAGTTTACCTGACTCGGACACGGTTTGCAATCGGTTTACTGTATAAGGAAAGTGTTGGAAATATACTCGTATTTGTATACTTTTCTTATTTTGAAACTGCATTGACCAAATTCCAATTAAATCTTAGGGATCATGCTCGTGGGGTTTTAAGGAGGGAAACTTGGACCAATAGAAAGACTGTCACTAACATTATACATGTACTCGTAACAGTTTCCAAACAGGACGGCTATCTCTTCTTCTACTTCAAACTGACTTTACTCGTATATGAAGTGTAGTAGTCTAAGAGTACTAAGTGAAGAACATTGTGTGGAGTTGATAGAAGTAGAAGTAGCTCTAAAAGTAAGCCAGATGAAGTTAGATTAAAAGCCAATAAAATCCCTCTGTCCACATCAATCTTCCTCCAACATTTCTATATGAAATACACTTCTGGATTTTTGTATTTCTCTTCATTCATGGCACAGACGACTTTGTTGGTTGCTAGTGTCACTGGGTCAGTAGATGTATCCGTAAGTATAGACCCTTACTATTACATCTAAGTTTGCTTGGTATATACTAGTACATAGATAAATCTATAGGGATAAAATACATTTATATCTCTGTGCTAAGTAAATATCCTTGGCAAAGTAGACATTTTCAAAAATAATAATTTGACGTTTCATTCACGTTAAAATCTAATAATTGATTAATTTTTAATGAACTAGTTAATATGCCCGATTTCTGAATACTTTATTACATTTGCTGCGGAAGCTTGCTTGATACCTTTTAATCACATTTATTGTTCTTGTTCAAACAGAGAAAAATTGACCATATGAAAAGTCTACATCATCAACGATGTCGAGCGTTTTAATTCTGTGCATCATCGTTTTAATTTTCGCCATGCTCTTCTCTTGTGCAAAATTTGTTGATCGGCAATTGGAAAACTGTTTTTATAATCGATGCACCACAAAAATAAGTTCGTATATAGGCACTGTTACATCGAAATGTTCTGGGTCTTGTAAATGTTTTAGGATCCGTGTGATGGACAATAACGGTACAAACACAGATTTGGACAGTGAATTGCCGCCGCCATTTTCTAAGGAGAAGGTGTCCAATCACTTGACAGAAATACACGAACAAAACATATGTAACAATGTAGTCATTCAAACTAATCCTGATCTACCTCCCTCCTACGATGACATTATGATCGTCCCCACACCTTTTCAATTTCCTCCCAGCTACGAAGAAGCCATGAGATGATTTTAGAGCAATTGGCTCTCTCTCTCTCTAACTTTAAAGTTTAAGAAATATTTATCATGTTCCCTCTTTTGACATTCGTAACGATTCTATTATATATCAATGATTGTTTAAATTGGAATAGACTCTACTTTTTGGTGACAATTTTGTGAATTGAATAAAATATATTATTCAAGAAATACTTTATTATACTCTGTTAAAATGTATCGTAAGAAATATGCAACCTTATTTTATGGTGACTTGTTAGTGTTAATAACTGACAATTTTACACAATTTGAACCTTATTTTAATTTTCACAAATGAGGGGTACAGCTAAAAGCAAGAACAGCATGATTTCGGTTTCTAACAAAAAATATATTTTTATATTGATATAAATATTATCCTTAATATCTAAGGAGCAATTACTCTTAGTTCACCTTACTACAGTTTATTTATATTTATACTTGAGAAATCTTATTTAACAAAGAAGACATGTTGCAAAAAAAAAAAATTCATTATAGATGTCCATTGTAAAGTTATCATTATATATATATTCCATTTGTTTTCCCTCCATAATTTCAAAGATTTGTTGGCTTCATTTTCACATTTGAATAATTACAAAATCTTATTTGATACATAAGTAGGTCAAAGGACAAAGTAGGGTAAGCCTCCTTTTTAGCCCTTGGTTTGAGGTGTCTTTTAGAATGATGCAACAGTTTATAAATTGAAAAGCAGCGATCACCCTTGCCACAAACTGAGTATTGGTTCTAAGTTATGGGATGCACAGAGGTAACATGAAGGTCAGAAAATATGTCAATTTCCGATCGAATTTCTGTTATGTATGCAAAATTCAATCAATATTTCAGAACATTTTCTTTCAGAAAACATAGAGCATTTAAGCTTGCCTATATCTACCAAATTTATATATTTCATACACTAGTATCAGATGCATCTTGTGTGTAAAAATTTTAGATAGGCAAGCTTGTGCTCTATGTTTTCCGAAGTGAAAAGTATCTCAAATTTGATGAAATTCCTCCAAAATTGAGAAAATACAGGAAAACTTCCTATTTTGCACCCTCTCGTGGCCTCGATGTATGCTTTGAATTAAAATTAGTGCTGGTTTTTAAACAAGCATCAATTTAAGTTTTTAACTACAAATTATCACAGTTTTAACTGTTAACTGTTCACGTCAAATAAGGGGCCAGATACAGTGGTTACCATACCTTGTCCTTTATATCCCAAATTGATTACTTTTAAAATATGAAAATTTTAATTAATCTAAAATGTCAGGGACCTATACACTAATACAGTACATGTAAATAAGTTCCCGTAAATATCTTTTTAAACCCCGAACAATAAGGAAATGTGTACCATAAATCTACGAAGTACTTATGAAACAATTGAGAAGACCCCAAATTACTTCACGTCCTATTCAGTTTTTCTCAAGTTATCCCATTGTCTGTGAGCTTCACGTTGTCTTCAGTCCATAAGTATACAAGTGTCGCCATGGTACTTCTAAGGGTATAAAAATTGCTAGAACTTTTTAAAATTTTTGTTTTCCCATCTCGATATAATATTAAACTATCCACAAAAGAAAGTACATTTTTGAACAGTATATCATTTTAAAAAGGAGAATTAACAAAGGGGAAAACACGAGTTTGGCAGTCTTTTAATATACGAGATATAATAATAATACAGCTTGAAAATATGTTCCAATTTTGAAGAAAATAGTCCTTTTTGTTTTCCAGCGGCACGAATTAAGGAACAATATACGTGGGATGGCGATTTTTACCTCAAAGCGGGAAGTTCAAGGTCATCTATTCAAATAAATTTAGCATCTAAATTTTCTGAAAATTGATCCAAAATGCCACAATGTGTTTATACATGTATTTAAATAATACATAAACTTATAACATTTTAACACGTTTGTTGAATAAATAAACATGATAAAAGATCATTCTCTATCCAGAGTTGTCGTTCCCGCGTTCGCTCCAACATGTACGCCTTTATGCGCCCATGTCCTCGTGTTCTTGAATACAAAATTTGAGGAACTTATTGTTTAAAAAACAAAACAACAATTTACGTATACATCTTCTTAAAAAAAAGGAAAACCGCGTAATATTAATTTATCATTACAAATATGGCAACATTTCTGCTGGTAAGTAAAGACACTGTTGTGAGAAGCTCACGCGCGTAAATGTCAAACATTTGAGCCAGGCACATTACTAGACGAAGAACTTGAAAGAATCTGTGTTATTTTCATGTATTAAACAAAATAAATCGTGTTAAAAAGCAAATACACATGATTGACACATTTAAGCAACAGATGTCATGATTTGTTTCAAGTTCCTGTAAGTTTGAACAATTATGTAATATCATAATAAGAGAAATCAACTGATTAATTACTGGGATTAAAATTAAGGGATTTGGTTCTCTTGATTTTTTTTACTTTTTTTCTCACGCATGCCTATAAGCTATAAATTGTAAAAAAAAAAAAAAAGAAAAAAAAAATCATGTTTGTAATCATTTTCTCACGCATGCCTATAAGCTATAAATTGTAAAAAAAAAAAAAAAAAAAAAAAAATCATGTTTGTAATCATTATGCATCCCTTTACAAAATGACATAATTATTTAGTTAATTATAATTAGAAGATCAAACAGATTAAAGCATGTATGGCATCGTATTTAGTAGATTACCGATAAGTAATACTGAAAACGTTATTATTAGAAAATTAGCAACATCTGTGATAACAGAAGAAATTCTTGAACAAAATTAAACGACAATTTCCTTTGACAGTGCTAATTATAACATAATAGACATTGACCGCAAGACATTTTATGCCATCTGTATCTCAACATAATTAAATCTATTGACTAAGTATAATTAAATGATTACAAAAATGTCTTTTAAATTACATAGGTAAATGGTCATTGTTATTGTTTTAAAGGTACGTTCCTTAAAAATCTTTTTAGTATATCTTCGAAATATACATATTAAAAAAAAACATTAAAAGCTATAACTATTAGGTAACTACGCAACGTGCACAGGCTGAAACTAAAGTCTCTATATCTTTCTTGTTTTTTGACGAAATCCCTTGAAATTTTGAACATAGCCATAGAATATCCTAAACATGGGAACTTGAAACTTTAAACAGTTATTCCCTTGGTTTTCAATTGTCTAGATTGAAAATTTAAAAGAAGGTACCATACATGAACCTGTTTTTTAAAATTCCCGGACAGTCTCCAATTGTCTTTGAAAATTTAACAAATATCATACATGAACCTACAATAATTACTTGCAATACATAAACCCTTATACAGGTACTATGAAATTGTATCTAATTTATTTTTGTGTACAAAAAATCATATTTTTGTCTTACATCTATTCAACTTATGAGAGAATTTAATCATTCTTTTCTCAAATATATATACTGTATTTATTTTCTGTCTGTAAGGGTACAAAATATAGATGGGATGTAATTAACCTAATTGCTAAAATAAATAAACTATCAATATACTTCTAATGTTATTTGCAAATGGGAATAGGTAGAAGACCGATTAGGAAAACCTTTTTAGAAATTTTGCATGCATTTTGCGCGCATGCGGATGATCCTATAATAGATATAGCACAACATTTTTAAATGAAATAAAGCAATTAAAATCATGAAAACACGTGCATACAATAGGTAAAAAATGTTTGAGTGACATCACTCAAATTTAATCCGTCTTTTGAGGGATTGCTCATAGTTTAATTGACCAATGATGGTTTCTGGTCAGTCGTAAACACAAAACAAATTCAGAATGACCACAGAGGACCGTGGGTAAATATGACGTCACATATTAATTTGGAAACAGTTACATAACTGGACAAAAAAGTTTCACGCCTTTCTGCTTTACCTAAGGGTTATTATTGGGTGATAAATTCAAGACGATGGACTGTTTTTCTCGGACGTTAAAGCAAGTATTTTAAACAGACTAAAATGGGAGAAAGTAAGCAGATTTTACTTTCATTTCTTTTGATTAAGGCGGCCGTGATCGGATTGTGTCTATGCAAAGGGAACCCCAGCACAAATTTGGACTTATACGACCATCTCTTACACCCATCTAGATATAACCCAGCCATTATACCAAAATGTAAAGGAACTGAAAAATTAACAGTTCGCGTTGGAATGGCGTTAAGAGACATTGTAGAAATTAATGAAAAACAACAGTTCATCCGCCTGAAAATATGGGTCCGTATGAAATGGAAGGATTGCATGCTTCAGTGGGATCCACCACAGTTTCAGAATCAGACGGAGTTAGTTGTTCCATATGAGAAAATTTGGATCCCGGATATAACCCTGTATGAAGGAATAAGTGACGAGGGAAATATGCCCGACATGGACGACTATAGGGCTAGCATGACCTACACTGGGGATTTGACGTATAATTTCCCTTGTATTGTGACCGTTGTTTGCCAGTTCAATGTGGCGTACTTTCCCTTTGACCATCAAGTGTGCAGCATGAAGTTCGGCTCTTGGATTTACACCGGCAAAAACGTCGATTTAGAAAGAATGAAAAATGAAGTGGACATTTCCAGTTTCCGCAATCATAACGAGTGGGATGTAATCGACACGGTCGCCGTAAGACACAATATTTATTATGGATGCTGCACCGACCCATATCCTGATATCACGTTTCATATTCATATCAGAAGAAAGCCTTTATTTTATGTCATAACCATAATTTTTCCTTGTTTTCTGATAAATATATTGACTTTTATGGGATTTGTTCTCCCGCCATTCGCTCCAGAGAAAATATCGCTACAGATAACGGTCCTTCTCTCCACGACCGTTTTCTTGTTGCTCGTGCAGGACAAATTTCCCTCGGCCTCGGAAAACTTTCCCCTTCTTGCCCTGTACTTTGCAATATGCATGGTGCTCGTGTGCGTTTCGTGCGTGCTGTCCAGCATTGTGTTGCACGTGTATAACAGGTCTCCCGAAGAATATCCTATCTCTACGTTCACACGCTCGATCTTTTTCGACAGATTTCGAAAAATCATGTGCATGAAGTCGGATATGGTTCTAAATGATGACAAGCTTGTTCAGATTAAGGGAATTCATTGCTTAGAAACAGGACAGTCCCTACCCAGGGAAAAGTGCGTTGAGATACACAAAGGGAGGAAATCGTATAAGGGGGCAAAGCTCTGCTCCAATAAATCCGAAATTCCGGAATATCCCTCCGAAAGTAAAAATCAGTCTCACTTTGACAAAGATAAGGGTCACATAACCAACGAGTGGGAACTGTTTGCTTATGTTTTAGACCGATTCTTTCTGTTGATATATCTGTGTCTAGCTTTGGCCAATACTGCTGTTTTCGTCTCAATCATGGTGAACTATGATGGAAAAGACATTCCAATGGATTAATTTGTGTACATGTGTGATTATGTGATTAACATTTTATACACAATGTTATGTTTGGAATAATTTCCAAACATAACGTTATGTTTGGAATTTTGATTATTAAGAGATGACTTGAGTGTACATTGTGTATAAAATGTTAAAAAAGTGTTTGCAAGAAGGAATGTTTGTCTCGTCATATATTTGAAAAAGATAGATAACTCTATTTCTAATTGAACATCTTTACAGTTTGACCATTCAATTTAATTCAATATCTAAAAAAAAAAAATAAAGAAAAAAATCAAACAATGATGTGTTTTTATATCCTGCATAAGTTGCGGGATCGTAGAATGACCATGTTTTTATATGAATGGCCCGTAGCTACTAACTATAATTTTTTTTTATCAAGTCTATATTGATGAAATGAATTCAAACGAAAAGTAAATCTTTTTTCGGATAAATCATACCGATTGTTGGAAATATTTTATCCGCAAGGAAACGTGTCAATTTTGTTAGTCATTAAATCCCCCTTCCATTTTGAACGAAGATAAAACACTTAATAGCCGAATACCAATTCTTTTAATTTTATGAAGCAAAATTTATTTACTCTATCACTGTCGCTAGTTTATCAACGAGGCACAACCATGTTTATATATTTTATTAATTTTACCTGTACCTGTTACACTACGAATATCCACGAACTCTTTTCACCTATGTGTGAAAATTTCCTAAAGCCTAGCGATGGAACTAAACATTTTGTCACAATATCCTTAACAATAATTTAATTGGGCAAGTGTCATACAGTGGCGTCCACTAGAAAAAGTTCCGTGGTAGCGTCATCGAATTTCATAGTTTGCCAATTGTTTAGCAATAATTATAGAAACCTGAATGTTTCAAGAAGTATTAAGAGAATTGGGATTTTGTTCTACCACAAAATTGGAGTAGGGTTGTATCTTCTGATTTTGTATACAAATTAGATTTTTGCTGCATTCCACTTTTCCACCATGGAAATCCCGCTTTTCAGGACAAAATCAACGCTTAAAATTTATTTACAAGAATTAAATCTCTTCAGTTTTCTGGTATATTATCTTTATCCCCTGTTAATAAAAGAAATATTTCTATAATTAAAATAGTTGTAATTTTCGAGTCTTAGCTAAAAAAAAAAAAAACCGAAACATCTAAACCATCGTTAACTAGAAATGTGTCCATAGGACAGGAATGCCCCGCCGAGGATATATCAGTAAATGCAACATGAAAATTTGAATTTGTGTATGAAATTTCAGAATATCTTGAATAGTGATGCAGTTGAATTGCTTACGTGAGTATGTATCAGCATAGGAAGTTTAATACTAATTTAAGAAAAGTGAGGTCAAGTTCAAAGGAAAAGTCAAGGTCAAATGTTGACACAGTTGAATAGCTCTCATCAGTATGTATCAGCATGTGAAGTTTGATAACATTATCTTGAATGGTATCTTTAAAACTGAGCTAAACACTCATTTCAGAAGTGAGGTTAAGGTCAAAGGAAAGGTCAAAAATGTCAATGCACTTGAATATCTCTCATCAGTATGTATCAGCACATAAAGTTTGATAACACTATCTTGAATGGTATCTTTAAAACTAAGCCAAACACTCGTTTAAAAAAAAGTGAAGTCAAGGTCAAAGGAAAGACAAGAATGTTGAAGCAGTTGAATAGCTCTCATCAGTGTGTATCAGCTTATGAAATATGATAACACTATCTTGAATAATATCTTTAAAACTGAGCTAAACACCCATTTAAGAAAAGTGAGGTCAAGGTCAAAGTCAAAACTGTTTATGCATGCAGTTGCATAGCTCTAATCAATATCTATCAGCCTATGAAGATTGATGAAAATATCTTGGATAGTTTTTTTGAAACTGAGCTTTGAACTGAGCTAAACACAAAGTGTGACAAAAGGACAGAAGGATGGAAGACAGACATGACAAACACTATATGCCCCAGCCATGTTCATGGTGGGGCATAAAAATTCAAACTCCCTGAATTATCAGACATGTAAATTCTACACCTTGGAAAATATTTACAGGTCTTGTGATCTACTGGATTTGTAAAATTCACAATGGGTATTGGGTAAGGTTCATGCTGATCTCAAACAACAATTTTGAACTTATTATTGGAAAACAGTAGAACACTTATTGTCTACAATATCAATTTCGGATTTTCCAACTGAAATATCAATCTTATTTCAAAAGTGCAATGCACTACAATTACCACCTCCAAAGCAAAAATAAACATTTGAATCTACCAAGCATAAGTAATAAGAAACCAAAAACTATACTTCATATTATTTTAATATCTAAATGCATTAAATGAAATAATTAACAAAATATGAATAATGACTGCTGGAGAAAAAAATAATTCCCCAAGGATTAGAATATGATGAAAGATGATTAAATCCATTGTTCCCAAAGTTAGCATGCCAGAACAATGTAGCCATTTATACATCACATTTGCATTGCCTCATTTATAAAATATAATCCATACAACCAACATTCTCTAAACACATCTTTCATAAGTTGCTCATATTCATATACATTAAAATTACACTCTAACAAAGTGTTATTTCGAAAAATTTCCCTTTTCCCTCTCAAAAATGTTTCCATTTTCAAAAAAGGAAACCTGTATTATACAACCACTCTAGCTATTGAATTAATTGGATATTATAGGCCATGAAATTCCTTGTTATAGTAGATCTATGATCACTCTTCACTAAAGACAATTACTGACAAGGGAGATCACAAATGGAGTTTTATAGACACGACGTACATGTATAAATATGTACATGGAGTACACATATCACAGTTAGAATTTTTTTGACGGAAGTATGATAATGTTTTCTCTACGTTACACTGATGAATAAGGAATACAGAAACTCTATGATATGCTGGATTAAAAAATAATATATATGATATTTTAATTAATAGGAAAAAAAAATTAAATTGTCCATATACATTAAATCCATATGTAATTATAATCCTACCCATGAATTCAACAAATTACTTTAGCTTAAAAATCTGTATATTGCAAAATTTAATAGCAGCAGTTTAACTTAAAAATTTGAGAGAAAAAAAGCACTTCTAAAGGTTAACAATGTGTCATTATTCCATTCACTTATTTCTATCTATCCGAGGATTTCTCAATGAAAACACATGCTTCCTGTGGCCAGAATCCCTTGGTGATATTGTTTGGAGCACTACCATTTTCCTTTATGATAATAAGCACCAGGAAAGATTTTTTTTGATTTCTTGGAGGTATATACTTTGTTCATCCCATGCTGGGAAGTGTTGCACATTGCCCATAGAATCTAAGTCTTGCTGTTGTGTCAGTCATAGCCCGCTGAATAAGAGAGAAAAATTCAGTTAATCAATGGTCATTTTCCAACTAAAATCTAATTTGTAAATAAAATGTACACACGTTCAGCATATTTTGTAAGGCAATATTTGACCAAAACTTTTTACTTCAGAATTTTTCACTGAAATACATGTCATTCAGTCCAGTCAGAGTTATCTTCCTTATCAAAGGGTCAATAAACCTTAAGAATAATGATAAGTACAGTAAATCTTGTGTAATGTGGACACCACAGGTTCCACAGATATTGGCCAGATCAAAAAACAATTTAAACTTTAATTAAAATTACTGAAAATGACTAGGAGAAATTGTCATTGCACGTTTTCATAACATCGTATTTGACAGGACTACTCATTGCTCCATTGATTTGTATAGGTCAACAAAACTGCCCTGATTGTACTACTGGAGGAATAAAACGAAATTGTATGTAAACACACAATTAACACGTCATCATCTAGATCTGACTCGTCACTACAGAAGAAAGCATTCCAATAGAAATATGCTCATCTGACAACATGCTTACATAATCAATACAAAGCTTCATGCTCCTTAATTCATACATGCTTCAATACTAGTAATCAAGGAAACGCGCAATCAAAATTTGCAAGACATAGAGAGTAAAATATATTATTTCCATGATGCCGCCTTTATACACACTGTATTTACAACTCTTTCATTAAACTGTTAAATTAACTGACAATTCTCCCTCCTGTTCCTACCTATTTAACATTAATTCATCATCACTCAGCATGTCCTCCTTTGCTTAATCATACGTTTGAAGGCCAGAAAAACAGGTCCGCATGGTTCACTCCCTCTAAATCAAGCACCTTGCTTTCCTGTAACAGAGTATTTGGATATAAGTATTTGTCATCATTTATTCATTCAGAGCTTTCTCCGATTCAAACCCTTTTTAGGGGGCCATAATGCTTATCATACATATACCGGTACATAAATATGCACAAATACAGTTGAACTTCTTTATCTTGAAAACCAATATCACGAATACAATGGATATGTCGAAGTGATTTGGTAGTCCCAACACTTATATATTAAACATTTTGTCCTTGATATCTCGATTCATTGCATATCTGGCCAGTCCCATCAAAAAACAATTTGAACTGTTTATAAAATTTATTGAATATATACTCGTCTAAATTGGTTTCTTGGGAGTTAAATTTTGGTCTACATAACATTATAGGCGACTAGAAAGAGATTGGTATTATTCTGACTAAATTTTCACAATTATCAAATAAAATGTCTGGATATATATGATGATTTATGTATTCTTAGATTATACATAAAGTAGAAGTATTTACATATTTTAATAACATGATACAAGATTAAATATCGGTTTCATTTCAAAACATATCATTAATTGAAACCAGGTTAAAACATCAATGAATTTACTTGAAATTGTCACCCGATTTTACATAAACAATACAAAGCTTCATTCTCCATAATTCATATGCTACATGTAAAAAAAAAAACTTATAGGCCGCAAATTGTGTGAACATATACAGTATATTTTTCCAATATGTTTCTGTCCCTGATGTCTTCTAATTTTTACAGGATTACTGTACATCTCTTTCATTAAATCAATGGACAATTCTTTCTCCTGTTCCTACCTATTTAACATGAGTTCATCATCACTCAGCATGTCCTCCTCTAGAGCTGCCTGTAGACCCTCTGAGTTCTCCTCTGCTGTCTTGAAGGCCAACTTCACTAACTTGTCTACCTGCTCCTTTGTTCTACTTAATTGGACCTTAAAAAGTCAAGGAGGGGTTGCTCTCCTGTAATAGGCACTGTTACATGTGTTCAAAAATTTATTTCTTAAAAAAGGAGGATTAATATCTTTCTCTGAAACACAGAAAAAAACCATTTTTGACTGTGAATTGATAAATATATTTTGTTTAATTATAAAATCATTGAAACAATGTTATATGCACATATAAACTTTTTTATGTAGTTTCAGTATATGACAAAATATTTTTTGCAAATTGTGATTTTCACAAGCAAAACATAGACAACCCTGGACTTGACTTACCTCTAAATTACTCATATTTCTAAAAATTTGTTACAAATAATTTTCTTCATTTTGGCTACAGTTGATTTGTCTAAAATCCAAAGCCCAAAAATAGTAAGATTTATGAAAAAATACAGCGAAAAAATTTAGCACTGAAAAAACAGTTCCTTTTTTTCAATGATTTGCAGAACTTTTATCATTATCAGATAGACTATTTCTTATACTACACGTAAACGGCAAGAAAGTGACCATTCAAAGTACGTCAAAATTACATGGACTTCTTTAAATCCAAATGAAAGAAAAAGTGAGCTAGCTCACATACCCCACGCTCCCCCAAAACTTGATGGTGAAACACATTCTGGCACAGCTAGTGCACTTTAAATACATCCTCCACTAAAAAAGTCAATAATTGCTCCTTTGTTCTATGAGGACATTTAATTGGACCTAAAAAGTCAAAATTTCTTACATTATACAAATCCAAACATTAATTTGAAGTGGTTGCTGATCAGCACTTTCAAAATTATTTTTTAAAGAATCAAATGCAAGGATTAAACAAATTTTGAGGAGTGGTGCTCACAAACTGTTCATCATATTCAAAAATGCAACCTGTGGCAAGTGTGGAACAAAAATATTTTCCTCTAGTTTTGATTTTGCTTATAGATTAAATTTAAAAGCAATGACCAAATACTAAACTTTGGCTGCATATAAAAGGTATGGCCAAAAACCTAATTTTTAAGAAGCAAAAAATAATGGCCAAAGTAATCTCTTTTAAAATGCATGTCTTATGTGTCCTAAATATCTGCAAAGTTTGAATATTCATTAGTTGTTTATGAGCAATTGCGCAGAAAACTTTTCATCTCTATGTAAAAGGTATGGCCAAAAACCTATGTTTTTAGTGCAAAAAGTCTAGAAAAAATAATTTGTTTTCCTAATATGCACATCTACATATTGTGTCCTAAATATCTGCAAAGTTTAATGAAATTCTATGCAGCAGTTTATGAAAGCCCTGACAAACTGTTCATCTCTATATTCAAGGTATGGCCAAAAACCTAAGTATTTAGTGCGGAAAGTCCCAAAAAAATAATGGAATCAATTTAATATGCACAAAAAAATACCTGCAAAGTTTTTTCATTCCAAGATATGCAGAACTTTCATCATTATGAGGTTGACATTTTACAATTGAATTTGAACAACATGTAAACAGCGACAAAGTGACCATTTAAAGTAAGTCAAAATTACAGAAACTTCTTTAAATCAAAATAATCATGAATCCTCATTAGTTTGCGACACTTTAGTGACAAAAATGTAACTTGAATATAAGTATTTGCTTTACATTTTTTTTAACAAAAATATTCTATTTAATTATCAACTTCATGTCAGTGTAACAGGAGGGCTGGAACAGGAATCAAACCTGGGACCCCTGCATCACTAGACAGGTGCTCTATCAACTGAGCTACCCAGACAGATATCCACGGCCCAAACCACTTAATTTTGACTGTTATGTCAGTGTTTTAGCACTATCTACTTTATGTCAGCTTTGTCCTATTTTACCTCCTGTTTGAGCTTCTCCCTGTCTGACGTTAACTCCTCTATCTGCTGTGTCTGCTGGGAGATGACGTTCTGGTCCAGTGTGGCTTGCTGTACCACCGCCTTGTACTTCCTCATCACGTCATTGTAGTCTTCCTCGTTCTCATCTAACTGACTCTGGAGCTCCGTCTTCTCCCTCAGCAATGCCATCGCCTTGTTTTCTGACTGTAATAGTAGAAATCAAAACTGATGGTTGTGATTGTATTCGTATGCATATCAAAGAAAACACAAATCATTATAGGCCATGGCTTTGTTTTCTGAGAGCAAAATTAAAATTGAAATTGACAATTGTGGTGATATTCAGATATCAAAGAAAATAAAGCATTATTTCAACAACCACGAAATGAAACTCTTTAAAAATTTTCTTTGCATGACAAGATAGATTTTTCAATGTAAAAAATTGAACTATGACCTTTAAGGAATTTCTTTCCTCGACAAGATTGATATTCCATTGTAAACTTGACCTATGACCTGAAATTTAACTTGGAAGTATTCCCCCTTACCTCTGTTTTGGCCCTGAAGATGTCATCTAACTGTTGCTGAAGGTCCTGGATTTCTAGTTCCATGGTTTTCTTGGCTTTAGTGGCAGCAGCAGCAGTGTATTCAGAATCATCCAGCTATAAATATATTAATAACAATCAATTACTGGTGCCATTCTTTTTCATCTTTGATAATTTTTTTTCTGTGTAAGGCGAAACAAACTACAGTGATAAGACCTAAACTGTATGTCAACATGATTGACCATCAATTGACCTGCCAAATCCCTTTTTTATCTAGTGTACACTGATACCTCACACAACCATCAAATCTTGTAAAATCATTTCTATTTTGATATAATTACTGTAAATCACTTTTTCTTTGCGAGAACTTTATTTTCGCACAATTACGCGAGACGGTATGCTCGCGAAAATTTAATTCTCGCGTATAATAGAATTCCTTAAGATTATATACAGCAATGACCACAATTCATGAAAATTTAGTCTCGTTAATAAAGAGTCAATGACTATCTCGTGAAAATAAGGTGTCACGAAAATTAAGTGATCTACAGTACTAGAACATAACTTCTTTTTATTAAACCACATTCTCACGAACACTGAACAAGCTGCAATTTTTTAAATATCTTCCCTTCTGCAAAATTCCCTCATTAGTCAAGTGTACTTAACTTTACCCCTAGGATCTTTGATCTGATCATTATTCTACTCCTGGGAGAGAAATTATATTTTTACCTTATTCCTGAGAGCTTTGATCTGATCATTACCCTATTCCTGAGTGTTTTTACCTTATTCCTGAGAGCTTTGGTCTGATCATTACCCTATTCCTGAGTGTTTTTACCTTATTCCTGAGAGCCTTGATCTGATTATTACCCTATTCCTGAGTGTTTTTACCTTATTTCTGAGAGCCTTGATCTGTGCTTTAGTTGCCTCTGTGCCCTGGTTCTTCTGTATCACAATCTCAGCATCTCTTAACAAAGCCCTGGTCCTGATCAGATCTCTCTTTAATCTCTTCTCTCCTTCTGTTTACAGGACAAAATTAAAATTTTCTTAATGAATGCAAAGAAAGGGTACATTGTATCAAGTTTGCTTCCATATACATCCATATAAATGTTCTGTATGCAAGGTTATTTTCAACCCATCTCATTTTCGGCCTTTCACACTTGAAAACAATTTTGTCCCATTTTAAATTCACCCATACAGTCACAATTTTGTTTAAGTAATTATACTGTGTTCTTTGAATTTGCTCAGTTTTAAATTCGCCCACCTGACAATGGGGCAAAAGGAACAAAAATAAAATGGGAGTGAAATTTTCCCTGTATACAGTACATCTGTGACATATCATGCACATAATATCTTATTAAATTTCATTTGTAAATATTTCTTTCATCAATATACAACCATCCCTATCTTGCCCCTTTCTGACTTACCCTTGTTTATAGAGCCTGCTTTAGAACTCAGCTCCTGTATCTGTCTTTCTAAGTCTCTCTTGTCCTGTTGTAGTTTTTTCTTATCATCATATTCTTCTTCTAACTGACTTTCTAAATTCTTCAGCTACAAAAAGATTAATAATGTCTGACTTAAAAAAATAGCCCCAATAAACACTGATACATGTGCAAGGTATACAATACATGGAAATCTTTTCCTGATAAATGGAGAATCTATATAATGGTCTACCAGTATCTGATTTCTAGTTACCTTTTTCTTCAGTATCTCATCTCCTCTATCTTTTCACTTTTACTAACAGCTAGCCATGTTCAATGACCACACATTTAAATCTGTTATGTTTACCTTTTTCTGCATGGCGTATCTCATTTCCTCTATCTCCTCCTCCTTCTCCTCCAGTTCTTTGTTGTGCTGCTGTTTAGATCTCTCCAGGTTCATCTCTAAACGGATCTTGGTCTGAAATAAAACTTACCATTTACTAAACATACTATGATATTTAAAGTGCTTGAATCCAACTACCTAGAGCTTAAATATTGATGAAATTTGAAACCAATTGTGAATAGCATCTATAACCAAAATTCATAAAATGGATTAGCAGAAAACATTAGAGGAAAAATGGCAAAAAGCAAGTCCAAAAATAAACAAACACTTAGACTTGCCTAAATTACATGAAAGATCCTTTATCTTGCATAGCTGTCATACATTACAGATCCCTTACCTGTTCTATCATTACATTACTGATCCCTCACCTGTACTGTTATTACATTACATTGCTAATCCCTCACCTGTACTGTTATTACATTATATTGCTATTCCCTCACCTGTACTGTTATTACATTACATTGCTAATCCCTCACCTGTTCTAACTGTTGTATCTGTCCAGCCTGGTCATCCAGCTCCTCCTCCTGGTCCTTGATCTTGGACTCCAGCTCATGTTTGGCTTTCTTCAGAGCCATCACCTGAAATACACATACAAACAGTCAATTTCTCTACAAGGCCTATGGAAATCTATAAGTCTTTACACATTAAAAATGAAAAGATAAACAGACATAAAAATTTTTAGAGATCATCTGCATTAGCAATCATTTTATTTGAATAACTAATTCTATTATTGTTTGCTTAAAAACTTTATAGACAATTGCATATAAATCTAAAAAGCATCAAGTACATTTGGTCTATTATTTACAACATAAAGATTTAAGGGTTTTTAAACATGAAGCTTTTTAAGACTGTTTAAGATATGCACTACAAAATGTACTATGAACATTCTACAGTTTTAAAAGAATTGGACAGATTTAAGGCACATAGAAATATACAGATATGGAATCAAAAGACAAAATGTTTATCCATTGGAGCTTAACCTTTATTTGCTTAAAGTACTTTTAAACTGATCAGAAATCATGGCACCGCTAAACTCCATTTAATTAATGATAAGTGAATATCTGCAAGTGGATCAAGCAATAGATGTACTTAAATTCTGGCTACATTTTAAAATGATTTTAAAAATGAAGCAAAAGCTTCAATCAGGATTAATGAAATGACTTTTATTGACAACTTATTCAGAATTCAATATCTCAAGATTAAAGGCCTGAATTATGGGCTCAAATAATTAGAAACGGAGCAATCAGGTCTCCTTTTTCAAATAATCTTGATTTCCAAGCAAATACCATATTTTGAAGTATACCTTAGATGACCGTAATTTGACCTTTAACCCTGTGAGTACTCACTTCTTGGTCCGTCCCTTTCGTTCCTGTCAGAGTTAAGTCCATCAGTTCGCGATTAAGACGATCTACTTTCTCTGATTTCTCCTCATAGTCCACTTTCATTCTCTGTAAACACAAACAATAGAATTGCCTTCAAACTCTCTCCAGAATTACACAGCCAAGAAGACCATGACATCGAAAGACACAAGTTATAACTGTGAACTCTTTGTCCAAATGTCTCAATGGCTGATTGATTTTTTTTTCGTAGTGTTACTATGAAACAGGAGGCTTCAATTGACATGAATCGGCGACTTCCTGTCAAAATGACTCCCAATTAAGTTCTATAAGCTCCCTCGGTTCCTCTCCAATAAGAAATCTAGTCTTAAAGATTCCCAACCCTTATGTCTCTAAAGTGTACAGAACTTCTTTACAGATCAAATATATACATGTATGAACATCTTTGTTTGCATACCTGAACCCAAGAGAAGATTAAACAACCTACGTAACACTTCGTACAAGATCATTTTTTTTACTATGATAAAGCACACACAAAACATCAAACAGAAATAGTTCTACCATTTTAGTTCAAAACCATAAAGGATAAACCTCTGAATTTAAAACACACTGAATACATTTCCCAGTCTATTAATGGATAATCGTAAAAAGATAAACCCAGACAAATAATTACGGACCAGCCAGATTAATATTTAAATCTCACCTTTACGGACGGAGTCATAATTATAACAATAGCCCAGCTCGACAGTCAATGTATGCTTAATCTTTAAAGTCATGTGGCTTAGTACACGAATATCCTGCCTTACCTTATTTAGCACTGATTTTGATATGTACTTTATGGAAATAAAATTTTTAAAAATCTAAATCTGTTCAGGCCATCTTTTAAAAATTGTTTTGTTGCCCTCTCCCGACTGACAAGCTAAAATGGCCTGCCTTTAAACTTTTTTAAATCACCAAAAAGCAATATAATTTCTTCATCAGAAAATACATTTTAACAAATTCAGCATTAAAACTGAAAATTTTGGAGAAAAAAATATTCTTACCTACCAAGCCATTTTGTTCATCTTGAGTCCAAGAAGGCAAACACGCATTATTTTAAAGTAGGCCTCAGTTATTTACTTACAATATTGCATGGTGTTTTAACCTAATGAACTAGACTCCAGGTTCTAACTAACATTTCCTTGAACTTTACATGCAAGAAAATGTTCTGAGTTATACTAATGCCACTTATGGTGCAATGTTCTGACAGAATTAATCATATTATTCTGGCACTCTGTAATCAAAATCATTACCCTTATATTGTCACTCTTTATGAGCGTAATAAACTGCAAACTACCTATAATATACCCTGTGTATTATCTATTAAGAGATACTCTGCAGGAATTGAATAATTCAGTGCATCCTCACCTAAACCCCTGTAGGTTCTGCACTGGTGCTATTTTTACTGACCAACCTAATAATTTCCAAGGTTTTATCTTACTAGTATTCCTGCTTTCGTTTTACTACAGTTTAACAGAACAATTCTAATTTAATGTTAATTTTTACATGTACCTCCATGCCCTGCACATCTAATATCCAGAACAAAACTTAATTCTACTGATAATTACCTGGTGTAGTTCTAGTGATATTTTGGTATGATAATTACCCACAGGTTCTGCTCTACTAATAATTAACTGTCGGTCCTGCTCTAGTGTATATTTAATCAGATAATTACCTGCAAATCCTATTCTCTAAAATAATTTTTTTACTCTGATGATATATTAGGTCTAGTGTTATTCTAATCAGATAATTACCTGTAGGTCCTGCTCTGATTTTATTTTAATCTGATGATAATTACCTGTAGGACCAACTCTAGTGTTGATGATTACCTGTAGGTCCTGCTCTAGTGTTATTTTTGTCTGATGATAATTACCTGTAAGTCCTGCACTTGTGTTATTTTAGTCTGATGATAATTACCTGTAGGTCCTGTTCTAGTGTTATTTTAGTCTGAAGATAATTACCTGTAGGTCCTGCTCTAGTGTTATTTTAGTCTGATGATAATTACCTGTAGATCCTGCTCTAGTGTTATTTTAATCAGATGATAATTACCTGTAGATCCTGCTCTAGTGTTATTTTAGTCTGATGATAATTACCTGTAGATCCTGCTCTAGTGTTATTTTAGTCTGGTGATAATTACCTGAAAGTCCTGCTCTAGTGTTATTTTAATCAGATGATAATTACCTGTAGATCCTGCTCTAGTGTTATTTTAGTCTGATGATAATTACCTGAAAGTCCTGCTCTAGTGTTATTTTAGTCTGGTGATAATTACCTGAAAGTCCTGCTATGTTATTTTAATCAGATGATAATTACCTGTAGATCCTGCTCTAGTGTTATTTTAGTCTGGTGATAATTACCTGAAAGTCCTGCTCTAGTGTTATTTTAATCAGATGATAATTACCTGTAGATCCTGCTCTAGTGTTATTTTAGTCTGGTGATAATTACCTGAAAGTCCTGCTCTAGTGTTATTTTAATCAGATGATAATTACCTGAAAGTCCTGCTCTAGTGTTATTTTAGTCTGATGATAATTACCTGTAGATCCTGCTCTAGTGTTATTTTAGTGGAGGCTAGTTGATCTCTCTCCCTCTGCAGTTTCTCTCGTAAATTTTTCTCGTCTCTGACCTCCTCCTGAATCTTGTTCAGCTCTGCATCAAACCTGTGATAAAGATGACAGTAAATCAATAAACTGGCCTAATCCTACAGGTGAAAATCAGACACAGAGGGACAGGTAATACTTAGTGTTTATTGAATTCTTTATTCTTGTTCAGGAATTCCTTTTTAATTATGATTGCAACTCTTCTTTTTACAGTTTGGCAAAGAGATAGCGTTTGTGTAAAAAAAAAAACTTTATATGGCCAAACATAGGAAATTTAAAGGTTTGTAATTATTAGCTTGCAAGCTGAATACAGTCACTAAACTAGTTATTTCAATTATTTAGATGTAGATAAAAATTCCTTTTTTATTGGATTCTGAAAGACTTTCTGATTTTTTCCCCTCAATGCATGGGAATATGAACTCCCTTTGATTACTTCATATAGTTAAAAACAACTAAATACCAATATACTTTACTTTGTAGTCACACATTTTTCAATGTGGGATATTAACGCTACATGTATGTATATGGTCAAATTTTTTCAAAGGATATTTTTCATATTGTATCTTAAAGTGCAATTAACACAAACTTTGACAATCAAAGAAATCAACAATATCTTATTGCGGCCAACAGAAGAAATTATGACCACAAGGAAAAAAAGTACGTGGTACATTTAAAATAATTCATAATAAAATTTATATGAAGCTAAAATGGATTGGTATATGTAAATGCATAAAATATTTCTCCACTACCCAAAATTGTAAAATTTTAAAGCAGAATCACAACTTGATTACATATATGGTAAAATTCACAAAGAAACCACTCACTTCCTCTGTTTGCGTTCCAGGTCATTGTTCCGTGACATCTGCTCCTCTAGGTGGAGTTTGGTGTCCTGCATTTCCGCCACCAGACGCTGTGCCTTCTTCTTCGCCGCCGACAACTGTCTCCTCTGGTCCTCCGCATCCTCAATGGCCTCGTGAAGCTAAAATGTTACAAAAAATATAAATTTTAAATCATCTTGATTCAGTCATTTGAAAAAAAAAGGAAATTTAAACACAAATTCTTCCTATTTAAGCAATATTCTAAGATATTTGCTCAAAATTTTTTATGTAAATATTGAGTTATCCAATTATATAATATCCAAGTTTGACTGTAAATTTTTACACCCCCTCCCCCACCCCTTAATAAAATGAAACAAAAATAAAGTTCACCTGTCGTAAAGTTGATTTTGAATTCATGACCAGAGGAAAAATAAAAAGAAAGGAAGAGAAGAGAAATGCATCTTGACTGATGTGTATAAATTCTGACTCATTTTTAACTGCCAGCTCCCAAAACTGACAAAAACGGAGGGGATGTGATATTTTATGAAGTGGATTCAGCATTAATCAATTTGAAAAGGATGCCAAGAGGTTTTCCACGTGCATCCAGAAGATTCTGCTTATAAACTTTCCATCTGTGAAGCCTATATAACAAAGCATGGTTAATAACCATTCTTCATCAAGTCTTAGACATAAGGATCCATCCAATTTAACACAGGGGTCTTCATCATCCATTGATTATAAACAATTTTTATTAGATTAACTTTGTATAAATCAATAGAGCAGGCCATGGCAAGGTAACCCTTGTTTACAATAGAGTTTATACTTTATTACAGTTCTATCTACCAGAGCTAATTCACATCTGGTTCATCTTGTGCCAGGTTTCTTTCCTTCATAAAAAACACTTTTTTTTCTTGTTGGATCATTCTTAAAGTGTACAAAACATGCACACTACTTTCATCAATGATGCATCGCATCTGTTGGTGCAAGTTCCCAATAGCCTTAATTTGAAACAATTAAATGCTAATAATCATGCACAGAATAACAGAACCCCTATTTCAATGCTAATGTCCATATTTTTTGGAGTTAATTTAACCTTAATATATCAATATCTATTAAATGTCACTAAAGAATCTTATCATATAAAATGGTAAGCATTTAAATACTTAAATATTCTTCTCTGCATAAAAGTAACTTGTTTGATGTAAATCGGCTAATACAGACACTAGCTTGTACAACATCTGACTGCATTGTTTCTTGCCTTTTGAACCCAATTCCTAGTGAAGCATGCTTCAAAGCAGTAATTGATTGACCTGAGAAATGACAGTAATTGTGGAGGAATGAAAGAACAGAAGCACAGAAAAGAATCAACCCTTGCTCTGACCCAGAGAGAAAAATGCAGAATACATTGAATAACTTGCACCTCTGTCTGTAGAGAGAGAAAGTACAAAAAAAATATTGAAAATGTTTTATTTGGCTGTTTATTCTTTTTAGAGCCTTTTGTGGAAAGCAACTTCTAGTAATTCAAGTGCAATGCTAAATGTTTTGCTAACATAAATAAGAACAATTAAGAAATACAAACTAAAAAATCAAATCTATGTGAGGTTGTTCAAAAATTAATTTCAGAACTGCCAAATAACATCCAAACCAAGTACACTGTAATTTACACACTAAATATAAAGCATTTATGGCAACATTTTTAGAAATGATTTAATTATACAACACATTCATATTGAATTTAATATTTTCTAATGGCATGTAGAGGTGGTCTGAATTTATACTATTCAATTTTTTTTCTTCAATCAATTTTAATAAAACATATATTTTAATTAAGCATGATTTGATAAAATAGGCTATGTACTTCCAGATATTAAAATGAAAATCACAGAAGAAATTTTAACAATTAGCCATAGTTCATTTTAGGTAAAAGGTTATAAAAAGCCTGAATGTTACATTCATGGAACACAAATCGTGCTAATTATAGACTCTGAAATCCAATAGACCTACATAATCCATCTACTTAAAAAGACTTAATTGTGGCCCATCCAAAACACCATGCTGTGTAAAGAGGTTGCTCATCTATAATGAAAACCCCATTAAAATCAGTTCTTTACTCCAACATAATGTACATCAATAAAGCTAAATGGACAATAAATTGGAATCATTCAACTGTCTAGGTGAGATATTTATGTGTGGGAAAGAAAAGAAAAAAAACACTCAATTTCTATTTCTGAAAATGAAATCCTCACTGTCTAGCAATCAAATGTCAGAGCCTTTTAAGACAATCTACTAGTATACCAAAAATACTATGAAATCTTCATTAGCATTTCCTTAATAAGAATTGCATTCCATGTGCACAAAATTATGAATTTGCAATGCATGCTTACTCATAAATTAGCATTGTTACCTTCTTTTTGGATTGATTTACATCCATTTCTAATGCACCCAATGCACATTCCTCTCAACAATAATTAAATGATGTAAGAATTAGATCCTAATTGCATTCAATTAATTCGTAAACAAATAGATATATAAGGACATCCTCAATATAATCATGATTTAAGTCATCTTAAAGACTATTGACCACTACCAATAATTCAAAATCCTTTTTAATTCACATTTTCTCTAAAAAATATCCATGAAAAAATTAAAATCAAAGTTACACTATACCTCTTTAGCTTTGCCATTTTTAACCTCGTCCTTCATTTTCACTTGTTCACACAATATACTATCCCTCACTTGAGATCACAAGCACTTGGTGAAATATTTGCGAAACAGAAATCCCCTTGAAAACTCACAACAAATTGTTATAACACTAGTTAGAGCCTTCTCCCATCAATGGTCACGCTTGCTGAAACTCGTGTAGAGCTAAAGTCAAGAGGAGATAATCCTGTGTTCTATACTCTCCAAGACAATGATAGATGGAGACCAGCTTTAATCCGCACACAGGTAGAGCAGGAATATGAATTTGCAGGTATATGGGTGGAAAAAATCTATTGCTTCTCTATTGGGGCCCACCCATGGGGTAAAGGATGACACCTGAATGACTTAATTGATAGTTAATAGTTTCTCACTACTAGTAGTTAAATTATTGATGACCAAGGGGTCTTTTCACCTGCAGTATTTGTTTTAATATTGTAAATAAATTCTAAAAAGAAATTGAGTGTTTAGACTTTTTAAAAGCTGCAAAACGGAAAATACAGTAGTCTATCTGTTACATAAACACTAGACCTTGTTTTGCAATATTTCTTAACCTGCTTACAAAGACATCTTTGTAAATTCTTATGTTTTAATGCTGAGATGTAATCAATGAATAACCAGTTTAAAAGTCAAAAATATTTAAATTCTACACTTCTCAAGTACACATATAAACCATTCCATAAACTAAGTTTAACAGGTTATGGGAATATTAGAAAATCTAAGGGATAAAACCCTTAAGGGCCCCTTTTAGGGTACAAATTAAGAAACAGGTAATTTGTTAAAATGATGTAATGTGCACATTCACCCTGCCCTGGGGTCAAGTTTCAACATTCTTATTTCTGGACAAACAACAAAAGTGCATAATTGCACAACTATGTGTCCATATTTATTCTATTAGATGCCAACTAAATAAGCTTTTTTGAACTTTTCCAGATGCATGTGAGAAAAAAATGTCTGTTTCATTAAATGTACATCAACTCGTGTATGCGTGAATTTCAGTCATAGTCCTGCACAGCCCAGTTTCCAATTACCATGGAGTTAATTAAGCAAACTTCCCATACCTAATTAATACACTAGGCCTGTTTCTTGTTTAAGAATATTGATTGTGATTAATTTTGCAGAAAGTAATGACAGGTTTATGCCAAAGTTCAGGCTTAGAAAATTTGTGGCGCTTTTTTACTACCATCAAGTTTACCTTATTGTACATTTAACATGTTTAAAAAGATATCAAAACAAGGTTATGAAACAAAAAGTCATCAATGTCAGATTTGATGGATTTGTGCAAAAAGCTATAATTCTTCAACAGCTATTAATTCTTTCAGTTCCTCTGTTCTTGTGCATGCTTTCCATGTCAAGGAAAGAAAGTCCTGACCTCAACCCAGACAGAGTGCATGTTGACAAGTTAAAAAAAATCTCTTAATAGTCAAAACTTCATAATGATCACATGCCAGCCCTTAAAAATATTTTCTTTTGAAATATTAAATCCTATGTACTTAAATAAAAAAAAAGTAACCGATAATTGTACAGAAAAAAAACCCCATAAATATATTTTTTAAACTCTGCCCAATTTCATCCCTTGTCCCTTCCAGCTAAAATTCCTGAAACTTACATCATGAAATTTACACCTCGACCATAATCAATGTGTGTCATTGATCAGAATTTGAAACATGCATATATAATCATTTAGTAATACCCTCTTTAGCAATACTACAGGTATAAACACATTAATGAACTTTTCTTCATACAAACACATCCATACATCATTTAATCCAAGGTCTATCATCTTAATGGTTTGGAACTCTATACAATGGTCTAACAAACATTAAGGTGGCTCATAGTTGAATGAGTTGTATATAATACCCTATTATTAAGGCAAACATCTATTTTTAAGATTTATGAGGCAGTTCAAACTTGAAAAATAAGTCTATCTCTACAAAATTACCATTAAAAATATTTTTGATGTTCATCTACATAATGAATACAGTTAAAAAGTTTTTTGACTCTGATTTCTTCTTCATATTGCTTATTCTTTAAATGAGAATCAAATATAGGACTGTTTTTTGGCTGAAGGTGCAGCATCTTTTGCATAAGAAAATAAACTTTGAAACAATTTCTCTTCTTTTTTTTTGCCCTAAACAAGGATTGTGAAATGTGTCCTACCCAGTTACAAAACCAGAAAAAAAGTGATTAGCATGCAAGCACTATGTCAACAGTTATCCATGAAATAAAGTGGATTTTTTTCAAATATCAAGTCAGGCTTAGTTTCTTGTGTTTTGGTAAAAGCAACCACACAATAACCATTTTAGACTATGTTAAGTATGAGTTCATGTGTCATGCAAGGTCAGATGTGCCTAATGTATGATATAAGATGTATTTCATAACTTAATATATATTCAAATGATAACAGATTTGTAATCAGGGAACTTTCCACCCCTTTTTACCTCATGATATGAAATTAAAATTGGTTAAATCCACTGAAGACAGCAACATCCCTTGAACACAACTGTGTCTATGAGAATTTAAAATACAATAAATTTTTGCAAGTGTAAAAGGATGATAATGAAGCAAGTCAGAAAGAACCATCTTTACAGAATATACTTCAGAAAATCTGAATATTCTCTTTGATTGGAAAACTGTGAACTCTCGTCAATTTTTCCTATTTCCTGAATAAATTTCACATTTCTTATGTCTCAGTCCAGTGACTAACATAGAATTTGGGACAAAAAGTCTTATATGCTAAAAACCCTTCACCTGAAATAGCAATATTCTGCATTTATCTTGCAATTTAAGACAAAAAAAATCAAGAATTACTGTGTTTTTCCATTCAATACAGAATTTTCATTTGATGCTACTTGCTAACTTGATCTGTTCAGTATATTTCTGGCTGTCATTTAATCCTTCCATTTTTACTCTGTATCAAATAATCACGTACCATTTTTTCAACTTGCAGATTGCCCTTTGTTTCTTTTCTACTTTACAGATAACATCTGTAGGTGACCACCACAAAATGCTTTGTCATCATAAACAAAGCAATATGGTAAGTTGTTTGACAAGTATACTTAATCCCAACCTTTTGTAAAAAAAATAGCATAAAAAACCTAGGCTAAAAGTATACAAAAGAACAATCATCTAAAACAATGTACCTTTCTCTCTATGTATCATTTTTTTTCTTTAGTGACTGTTCTTAACACTACAGCCTACCTTTCTCTCCACATTTTTCTTTAGTGACTGTTCTTTCTCTATCTCCTCCTCATGATTTTTCTCCATACGTTTTCGGGTCACTGTGGATTCCCTCAGTAGCCTCTCAAACCTCTCCTTGTAAATGGAGTCTGTAAAGATTAAGTTTTCATTAACTGACCTCATACTGGTGGAGTTTTGAGCTGAAGTGCACTTTGAATCTTATTATTCCCCTTTCCAAGTTGTCCATAAAACCCTGGGTTGAGGAATTTTCTGCCTACGATGAAACAACTCCTCTATTATGACACTAAATGAGGGACCTCAGACACCCTCCTTCTACTTTTATAATACCCCCTCTACTTTAGGTATTATAGACAGCCCCCCTTACCGTCTCCAAAGTCTTCCTCCAGCTCCCCCTCCATGGCCTGGGCCTGCCACAGGTGCATCTGTGTCACCTCCATCTCTATCTTCTCAGCATGTCTCTTCAGAACAGTGTACTTTGACTGTAAAAAATTAAAAAAAGTGTCAATTACACACCATTTTAGCATAAGTGACTTCTTAATAAGTTATCCCCAAAATGATTTCTTCCAATGATTAATCGAATACAGGATATTTCGTGATGCTTCTTATACATGTATTTATGCTTTGTTTCAGCCATCAATGACAAATAACTAAAACAGTACATAAATACATGTATCAGAAGCATCACAAAATATCCTGTATTCGATTAATCATACCCTTCTAAACTATGGGTTAAAGAGAAGTAACTGATTTTTCCACAGAATCATGAAATAATTAAGCATCACTTCTACAGACACTCTGACAGTGAAATGTGACAGTGTACCTGAATATCTTTGAGTTCTTTATCCAGTCTCATTCTGTCTGCAGTCTCGGCTTCTAACATCTCGGAGGCGTGGGTGGCAGTGTCGTGTTCCTCAGCTAAGTCTGCTGTCACCTCTGCCAACTAAAACATACAGACAGAAATGGCTGTTAAGAAGCTAAACTCTTTAAAAAAGACCAATTCAAGCTGGTAGAAATATTAATTAACAAGGGAGATAACTTAGTTTATCATCTACAAAGGTGAGGAAAAAGATATGGGTCCTTCCTTGCTAAAGCAGTTATAAGATTTTCCCCAAACAATGCCCCCAAAGCACTGTTAAATAAACCTGACCCAACTGCACAAAGTATTTCTCCCTCAATGTCACACATAAAATTGTGGCATATGAAAAAAAAGTCTGTGTGAAATTCCATATCACTCAACAACTTACAATATTTACAGGGTGGGTCAGAATCATTTTAATTTCAGAAAGCTTTAATAGAATGGGTATTTAAAAATTAATGTTGAGAAATTACAGACAATTGTCTAAATATCTGTGTTTTTCTAAGGAGAGTAAATTTACAAAGGCCACATGGCTAATGGTCATACTTTTGTGAAGAAATTAAACACATGCATGTACACAACTTACTCTGTTCTCCAGCTTTTCGGCTTGTGTTTTGTACTCATTTCTTTCTTTTTCCAGCTTTTCCACTTTAGCCTTCATTTGTTCTAATTCATACTGAAATAAAACTTTAAACTGTAAGTTCTGGGTGAAAAAACCTTCATGATCTCATGTTCATTTTTAAAGCTGATTTTCTTATTGGATAAGAAAATCAAGAAATCAACACCCAACAAAAAAGTTAATTAAAACAAAAAAATAAAAATAAAAGGGAGAGAAAATTCAAAAGTCCCGGCAAATGAAGTGCATAAGTTTCATAATTACATAATGTAAAACAAATATATATGCCCATACTTGCCAACCTCCAGCATGTAAAAATCTGGTCATGACCAGATTTGGAAAGTAAAAAATCTGGTCATAACGCGTAACGACATTCACGACATATTTACCATGATTAAATTTTATACATACATGTATATACAAAGTATTTGTGTATTGAGAATTCTTTTATTGAAAAAGGATTTAATTTACTATGACAAAAAAATTCATACATAATTTGCTTTAATTTACATGTTAAAAATGAAAATTGGAAGGTTTCATATTTCAGATTTGACCTGAAGTAAATGTACATTTTTTTTTAAAAGGCCTTTTCAGTTTCTGCTAAATTTGAAAGCATACCAATTTCAGTTTTGAAGTTGTTTTTCCTCTCTCTTAATTAATTAATTACTGCAACATGTTTCAAATTTGAAGTTAGGCTTACACTGTCTTTGATCACTTTATTTTATCCAAAATGAAAGTTTTTTCCCCAAGATTCCTTGATATGTACATAAATATCGTTTCTCTTTTTCTCTGGTTCAATCAGAGACATGTGTTTGGTTCAGTTTGTTCCTGTTGGCCCTGATAACGATCTAGTTCTATGGGAAGCCATTTTAATTAACTTCAAACATTGATTTGTCAAAACAACACCCAGTTAATTGTTTACACCTGCACAGATAATTAATCCATCGGCATTGTTTACGTAGATCTAAGCTTGGGTTGTAACTGGAAGTTAAAAGTGCAACCTAATTTACAAACCAAATCCGGAAATCGGGAGATTTTTAAAGGTTTTCTTAAATCGGGTGATTAGCATGACCCGCCGGGTCATAAAAAATAATCGGGTTATGGGTTGAAAAATCGGGTGTGACCCGACGAAATCGGGTGAGTTGGCAACTATGTATGCGTGATAGAAATCACAGTCATAAATCAAAGGGGAGTAACTCTAGGAGTCTTAATTCACCTCTCTATTTTTAAGTTCCTCTTCTGTTCGGTGGACATCTAGTAATGGCTGGACCTTAGTGAACAGTTTCCACCAGGACCAATCTTTGATCAACATCAGTTTCCTGACATTCTTTTGAATACAGCTAATGGCTATGTGTTTCACCTACCAAACATTCATCAAAGATTACAGTTACACATGAGGATAAAATTTCTATTTTAACTTCAAAATGTAATTTCTTCTTCAAATACAGTCAAAACTCTTTATCTTGAACTCAGTGGGACCAATAAATCACTAAGACATCCACGTATTCAAGATATCAATTGTAAAATACTTTAATGATATTTGTAAGTATTTCGGACTTCCAAATCACTTCAACATATCCATTTTCCATTAAAGATATCAGTGTTCCACATTTTGAAGTTCAACTGTATATATACTTCCATACATATATTCTTATATTTAGGATCAAAAATATTTTTTAAAAGAGCACAAAGATGCATTTGATTAACCATTATTGCCCTTAATCTTACAATCAAATTTCACCTTTAATTTATCTAGATTTTTGCGGGCTAGGAATCCCCTACAGCGAGCCTGTAAGTTGATAATTGTTCCCGTAATCTTCTCGTCCCGAGCCATCTCCAATCTGTTCAGAGCACCTGCTCTGAAGAACACCTGAAAGCCAAATACATGATTCAAATTTAATGAGAAATATTGTTTTACATCTTGACTATTGAATTCTGTATATACTGTAGAAGTACTTTTTTCCCCCTGGTATTAATTTACGCTATGTACGCTGTCACAAATTTTCCACGGAAATTTGTCCAAATTTGAAAATCCGCGTAATTTTCTACCCGCGGATTAAAAAGAAATTGAGATTCCGCGGAATTATGACCCCGTGGAGAAAAGTACGTCTACAGTAACTATTTCTTTTTTAATTTATACACATGTACTTTTTACAATAAGCTATTCTATATATGATTCTGAGTGATTTCGATTGTTAGTAACATTCAATTTAAGGTATTTCAACACTCTCACTAAAAAATTCCAAAAATGGATCCTTACTAATATATCTGCATAGTATACTCCACATAAATGTAATGAATACAAGAAGACAAGAAATTTCAATAGTTAATAGTGTACCTGACTAAGTCCAACTCTGTAGTTCAGTTTGTCTATGTCTAGATGATCCAAGATTGTCAGAATTGCCTGAAAATACACATGTATCAGAGGATATTTATAGAAAAAAACCTATCAAAACTCATAAACAGTACAAAATATGAAATTTAAACAGAATATAAATGTCAATTATTTCATTTTTCCAAACAAAAATCAATTCATAGCTACATGTATATACTAAACACATTAAACTGTCTTTAAATTTCATCATCGAATTCTCGTTTTATCATTTAATTCTGGTATTTTGGTGGTTGGAGAGTTTTAAGAAGTATACTTACTTGTTTCATGTCAGCGTCTTTCCCTGGCTGGCTACCCGGAGGAAGTAAGCCCTGAAACCTCTGTCTGAACTCACTGAACACCATGTTATCAGGAAAACCTTAAAGTGTGACACATTAATGTTTTATAATATATTGATTATAAATGAGGAAACAAGTTCCTGAAAGAGATAATTGTCAGGACAGTTGGATTCCTTTAATTTGGATGCCTTGAATTTTTAAATTTTCAATATGCATTAAATGTATAGAAAAATTTCATCCATTAGCTCAGTATCAAAATTCATTATTCAAACTTCCAAGTCGCACTTTCCCAAAACTGTTATACATATTAACTGAATTTTTTGAAACACAACTGATACACTGATTGACAGAACTAAAAAGCAGAAGATAGTGAAGGAACAAAAAGGACTGGTACTTTACCTTATTATCAGATATTTAAAACAAAACTTAAGACCATATCATATCTTTTTTTCATTTAGTATCATTATCTATCATACACCTTATTATTATTGTAAGCAGGTTTTTCTATATAGTAAAGTACATAAAAATACTATGGCAATTAAAAAGCTTTGCTTATATAACCCCCTGCCTCCTTACCTTGCCTGTAGATTCTGACCCCCTCCAGTAGCTCCGCCCCCCTGATCTGAGATCTCACCAGAGGAACGTTCATCAGGTTCTCGTCGGAGGGTTTGTCTTGTGGAGAGGCTCCCTGCTTGAGTTCCCACAGCCCTGCATTGTGTTGTGGCAGGAGACAGTGTACAAAGTGACATTTAGATTTACGTAGTGTTTCTATTATTGAGTCCTATAAAGTAAAAAAATGTGTTTAAATGGATTAAATAATCGCATGAGTACTTAATTAAGCATTTTCAAATCTCAATGCATATGTAGGGTATGGACTTATTAACATATTCATGAAAAAAAAATATCAATATCTAAATAAATCTAATAATCGTAACATTTATTATTCATATTTTAAGCAGAGATCATGGATCAATATACATACATGTATAGAGGACAGCTTAAAAGCTTCTAAAGTTTGAATCCAATTAAAACTAGAACTGTCCAATCGGGACAAAATACCCCCCGCTGGGTTTTTCAGAAGTAAGTTTTTGTATAATAAAGATATGTATCAAACACGAATTATAAAATTTTTCTTCCAGTGACCTTGAACTTCCCCAAATGACCTTGGGTCAAGGTCATGACACACCCTTGGGTCATGGGCAATCTTTGAGTGAAATAAGAACCTACCAAGTTTATCCATAAGAAAGATATGGACCGGACACGAATTATTAAATTTTTCTTCCAGTGACCTTGAACTTCCCCAAATGACCTTGGGTCAAGGTCATGACACACCCTTGGGTCATGGGTAATCTTTGTATGAAATGAAAACCTACCAAGTTTATCCTTAAGAAAGATATGGACCGGACACGAATTATTAAATTTTTCTACCAGTGACCTTGAACTTCCCCAAATGACCTTGGGTCAAGGTCATGACACACCCTTGGGTCATGGGCAATCTTTATGTGAAATGAAAACCTACCAAGTTTATCCATAAGAAAGATATAGACCGGACACGAATTATGAAATTTTTCTTCCAGTGACCTTGAACTTCCCCAAATGACCTTGGGTCAAGGTCATGACACACCCTTGGGTCATGGGCAATCTTTGTGTGAAATGAGAACCTACCAAGCTTATCCATAAAAGATATGTGTCAAACATGAATTTTGAAATTTTTCTCCCAGTGACCTTGAACTTCCCCAAATGACCTTGGGTCAAGGTCATGACACACCCTTGGGTCATGGGCAATCTTTGTGTGAAATGAGAACCTACCAAGTTTATCCATAAGAAAGATATGGACCGGACACGAATTATGAAATTTTTCTTCCAGTGACCTTGAACTTCCCCAAATGAGCTTGGGTCAAGGTCATGACACACCCTTAGGTTATGAGCAATCTTAATGTGGAGTAGTAGATTCTAATGTCCCTCTGTAAGAAAGATATGGACCGGACACGATTGCACAGACAGACGGACAGACGGATAGACGGACAGACAGACAGACGGACAAGGTGATTCCTATATACCCCCCCAAACTTCGTTTGCGGGGGGTATAATAAGGAAAAGTAAAGCATCAATAATCAGAGATTCCTCAAATCTATTCCTACTGCATCATGGGAAATATGTACATGAAACTGATCTGCCATGATCTAAGAAAATATGTCCTAAAAGACTCACCACTTGGAATTTGACCTGAAGACACATTGAGCGTTTCTTGAGACCCGCCGTCCCTGACATGAATGTTCGCCGCATGCTGCCCACTCTTTTGAGAGAAGTCGACCCCTCCATGCCCACAATGGATCCACTGACCATTCCGGCTACAGGGGCCTTAACTGTGTTGAAAAGTTCATTGATGTTCTGTCTAAAATAGAAAAACGTTACTCCCATATAATATTTTACTTTGTGAAATAAAATGAATTTGATATACTTGGTAAATTGAGTCTTTCACATTCTTACCATTCATTCATTTAATCCTTTTTTTTAAGATTTCAAAGAAAAAATATCTTCATGTACAAGCTCTTTATAAAGATTCAATGTCTAAAGGATATCTACAATGATGCTTATTTTGAAATGATTTTGTTTAAATACTGAAATATATCTACATATCAAGTACTGTAGATTCCTTATTTTTAGCAATTACTTATCGTTGCGAATGTGCTCTTCAACGTCAGATTGTCAGAATAATAATTCACGAATGGACGGTGGTCAAGAGATTTTACACAGATTGCAGCACCATAAAAATAAAGGCAAATAATTCGCTTGTGGTGCTTCTACCGAAATTACGCGATGATTAATTCCATTCGTATATTTAGGAATCTACAGTATCCTTCAATTTTGTTTCAAAAACTTTCTTTGATGCACATTGTAATTAGCAAGATAAAAATCAGAATATATTAGACTCTACATCAATTTCCTGTAATACTTAGTTTTCCTCCATGCTTACCTCTTAGAATCCTGGAGGACCTGAATGGCTGTTTTAATTAAGGGGTTTTCACGACAACCTTTCAGCCAGCCACTGGCATTGTACTGAACAGGGTTGGTTCCCTGGTAATGGTTCAGAATAAATGTGTTCCCTAGTGAAGAGGCCTTCCTTAATAGACTGTCCTCTGTAAATATTCAAATTAGGTAGGCATAAGTTAGAAACACAATTATTTCTCTCTCCCCCCATCCCTCTTCAATCAAATTAGAATATGGCCTTAAAATGCTGAATTTGTGCCTTTTTTCCCGTTAATTTGTCAGTTTGGAACATCAGTTTTTACGTACAGTAAAATACACTTTTAATAAATTGTCAGGGACAAATGATTTTGCTTCATAATAAACAGAATTCTTTTTATCTGCTAAGTTCAAAGTTTTAAAACCATGAGGAATGAAAATAACTTTGCTTTATGCATTGATTCATTATAAGAGTGTTTGCTATAAGTGTGCTTAACTGTAATTTTGCTGAGATTAATAAGGAATTCACAAGGCCTTACAATAAATCTGAATGTTTTATACTTTTAACTTTCTGCTCTCCATGATGAGTAAAGAGTCGGTCCATAAAACTGTCCTCTGTGGCTCCCGGAAATATGGCTTCCTCATCCAGTATCCATAGCAACCCTTTCTTATCACTTTCCTTTATTTCTTGTGATGAAGTTCTCACCTAAAAAAGTAAAATACATGAATTTTTAAAGTGATCAAACTGAAGAAAAGTATTAGATATGATATGATCATAATAGCGTTGAAGAGAATCCTTTTTTAAACAAAATTATCATAAATTGAATAATAAGTGAATTTTGAACCATTACTATATAAAAACTGTTACAACACCTCCAATGCTTTTGTATATACAGTAAGGTACATTGTGGTTACTAAGTTGTGAAGGAAATTTTGGGTAACTTTGTACTTTAAGGTTCAACATTGCCTCATTTATCAATTATTCATTGTACTTAATCAAAGTTACATGTAACATACATATCAATTTATTAAACTAAAGTAATTAATTAATGAAGATTCAAACTTTTTTGGGTTTAAAAACATAAAAAAAAAATAATTTTAAAAATAATTTATATCAAAAACATTTTAACAGAATATGAAAGTTGCTGCAATGAAAACTCTGGGAAATATTGGGAAAATGTCCAGAAAAGGGAAAAGGGGAAAATGTTAAGATACAAACCAATTCTTGTGGTGGCTAACATGAATATGAAAAAAAAGAGTTTCAGGAACTTTGTTGGTATCATTCAAGCAACAAAGGTAGCAAATTATTAGAGCAATAAAAATCAAAAACCTCATTGAATATATAAAGAAAATTCATGATTGAATAACAAAAATAATATAGAATCAATCATTAAAAGTTGATGCTGTATCTACATATCTACATTATTTGCAGAGGAAAACAAAAAAAAATTCTGATTAAAGATTCAGTTAATTATTCTAAATAAGAATTACAATTAATCAAAATCTGTACAAAAAAACAAAATAATAAAAAAAATGTGAATTTAAACATGTGTAATATATATCTTTCCAAGAAGCCTTGTTTGCAGATAACACTATATAAACAGCACAATCATACGGAACTTGAATATTAAGGGAACAATTTTCAAATGGTGACAGCATTTCTACACTGTTCACGTCCACTACTAGTGAATTTCTGTCAACTACGGTGCAAAATGGCAACATGGATTCCTTCACCAAAATTCATGAAAACTGCTAGTGAATTTACCAAATACCATCACAATTTGACACACTATCACCCAACACAGTGAGTTGATAGACAGAAAAAAAGCTACTTCAAATACCTCCTCTGATGCATGATGGGAATGATCATGATTTGAATGATGGGAATCAATCCCATGATGCCTTTGGCCAATGGGACGCTGTTTGAATCAAAATAACTGTTCCATGAAGAACTCTGAATTCAATGTGTATTTGGCTTAAATATATTTGGTAGAATAATCTGTCAATGAGACCAGTAGAATTTTGAAAGAGAAATTCTATTAATTACATCAAGACAAAAATACTTGTGTATTTACCAGAAGTTGCTGGGCTGGTTTGTCAATGAGGGACACCATGGCTGCTGGACTGCTGGTAACAAACTCGAAATCACACTCAACATTCTCCTGGAGAAAACAATAAGTGCATAAATCACATTGTTTATTGGTCTTTAATCCCCCCCCTCAAATGTTTCAAGAATTTAAATGCCCCTTGCTTTCTTACTTTCAAATATCAAAACAAAAGTTTAATAAAAACTTATTATTTTATTAGCACATTGGAAAAAATCTAATTTAATTGACAAATGGCAATAGTTATGTAGGTACATGTATTTGCAAACAAGGGTATAAGTTAACATTATTGCAATTTCAATCTGGTACAACATCTAAAGAAATCACATCACTTCCTTTTCTGATTTAAGTCAAGCTCTTATAGCCTTCACCGTCACAGCTAGCTTTAAACCTTAAAATACAACATTGAGTTCACGCAAGTATTAAAGATTACCTGACTGTATCTATCCTGTTGTAAGGTAAAGGTCAGTTCATGGTACAACATCTGTATTTTTTCATTAGCGTAGTTGTAACACAGATCTTCAAAAGTAGCACCAGAGTTGCGACCACATGTAGCTGGATTCTGAAATCCAGGTAGGTCCACAACCGTTATTGATGTGGAAGTCCGCATATTTGAAGACATGGATCTGAAAATCATTATTCCCAACAGTATTAAATGTATAGATGTTTATTCCTGATGTTTAAATATTCACATTTATGTCTTTATGCATAGAAAATATTTAAACCAAAGCTGGTACCCTCGGAATAAATCAAGTTCAATTTACCTGATTGCAATAAAGACATTTTTTGGTTTTTCATTTTTCTTCCAAAATGTGATAATTCCACAATTTTCAATGAGCTTTGACAAATTTGAAAAACCTTTTCATCACTTTTGTACATTCTACTTTTATATATTCAAATTGATGTATACCTGTTTATTAAAGACACTATTGCATTAAATACAGCTGAGTACAGCCCTATGATGAACCCTTCCAGAGCCTCCATTGCGTTTGTGTTAAAATCACCTTGACCTTTGTCTGCTGGGCTTCCCCTGAAAATAAACCAATCACAAATGTCAGACATTCTACACCAGCCAATCAGATAACAGCAATAATTTGAATTCAAAATATACATTGTATAATATGTTTTAATTACCAAATACTTCCATACTCAGTCTAACCAATGTCATTTGATATTAGGTTGGTATACCAGATATGTGTGCATTGTATATATTCTGTGAGATTACATAAGGTACTGGTATATTTCACATACATATTGTAAATTTATTTCATTACAATTTGATATATGGTGCTATAAGGATGTAGATTGTATAAATATTTCCTTACAATTGTGGTATATGATTATGTAATTGTTAAAGATTATTGAAAATATCAAATGAAAACCGCACAGTTAAAATTCTTTAAAACTTCACTTTGTAAAACTTTAAGTTGCAGTTTTAACAATTAAATTCAATGAAGACAGAGGGAGAAAGCCAGGTTAACAAACTCTGAAAATCAATTCATACATACCCTATAGGTCTACTTATCCTGCATATGCAACGTTAATACATCAGTATTATCAAATTCTCAAATTCGAATTGTGGTAAATAACATACCCATAGTAAAATGAAAAAAATCTTTTCTTGAAAGAATTGTAAGAAAGCATAATTTAAACAGACCAGAATCTAAACTTGTTCAACTATAGAATTGCATTGCAATTCAACTTATTTTGTTCTTGGAACTATAAATAGCCACATAAAGGAATTCCCCCTAGCTCACCTCATTGATGTACTCCTACTGAGTGTCATTGCAATTCAACTTATTTTGTTCTTGGAACTATAAATAGCCACATAAATGAATTCCCCCAGCTCACCTCATTGATGTACTCCTACTGAGTGTGGAGGATCCCCCCGAAGCAAAGATCTGCCTGGCCAGCTCCTCCTGGGTGATCCCCATCAGCTGGGATGCCTTGAGGGCGGCGGCTGGTCGGGCAAACTGGGGTTTATTGTTCTGTCCCTTCACAGCCCCGGCCACCCCCAGGTGATAGATGGCTGCCAGAATGTAGCATATGGCACGTTTCTCCTCCTCTGACATTCCTACCACCTCCATGGCGTGGAAGATCTTACCCCAGGAAGTGGCTGCTCTCTGGCGATCTTCATTCTATTCAAAATCAAGGTCAATTATTTAATGACATTTATGCTTTCTAAGCTAACATAATTTTTAAGAGCAAATTAAGTATGATTTATGGTAAGCACCATGTCATGTGGAACTTAATTTCTTTAGATGCTTATTAAATTCAAAACTTGTGATGCTGCTGTTTTCAATGTTTTCCTTGTACAAACTATCATCTCATTTAACAATTTAATAAGTCAGGTGGGAAAGAAAGGAAAATAGTAGATTCACCTTCAGTACAGATTGAGAAACATTTGTTTCAAGAAAAATTTTCAAACCCTTTAAAAAAAATGTTCCTTTACAATATTTAGGTTTTATTTACCCTTTGTAGAGGTGTCATGAACAGATTAGGGTCCCCTAGAGTGTTGAGTTGTAGTTCATTTCTTAGATTTGAGTCTAGTCCAGCCAACATCTGATAGAACACATGGAAACTGGGCTCCCCTTCTGGTCGCCTCACAACCCTCGTCTTCTCAAACAGCATCACCTACAAAACAGGAGGGAGGAGGTGTAAATAAGACAAAATATTCAAAAAGCAAACATCAGTTTCGGTATGACTTCAATATCTGTAGCATTATATATATACTGAATATTTGTGATATTTTGAAGTGATCCTGACTTTATTTATGAATAAAGGTCATCACTACCTTAGATACCTCTAATCTTTAAATTTCTGAAATTTTTTAATCATTCTAACTTGAATTTTTGAAATCTAACTTTAACATGATCACAATGTTACAATACCTGTATGGATGCCGAGACAATCTGGCCTGAATGATCGAAATCTAATGTTGTCAGTTGTCCGTATCTACTGGCATTGGTGTTTAGTATAGATCTGCTATTTCCAAAGGCATCCATTAGTGTTGAGACAGCATTTAATTTGTCTCCTAGAAAACAGAATTTTCAAAAACATATAAAAATAATTAAAGATTAGGAAATGATTTCAAAAAAGACAAAAAAACTACTGTGGAATCAACATTGAGGACCAATGTTCACGGAACAACCTTTCCATGAATTCAATCTCCACAAACAATGGTAAGTTTTTCAAGATGTTGGTACATTTACTTAAATCTTCTGTTTATTTAAAATTAACTCCCCTCCCCAAAATTTGGGAACACTGAACCCATCACATTCATTTAACAACCATTCTGTAAAAATGCTGACCTCTCAAAGTCTATATTAGCTCGCCTGTCTTCTACCTTATTATATCAGTCATAAATAGCTCACCTGACATGATGTTGCCCACACTGCCTGCTGCCAGGGTTAGGTAGGACAGGATGTGTTTGGCGTTGACTGACTTGCCACTGCCACTTCTGCCCATCATGATAATGGACTGGTCTCGCCTACTGTTCAGCATGTCTCTGTAGGCAATCTGCCCACTGGCGTAGATGTGAGGGGGCATGTCCTCCTGTTTACAACCCTTAAACACCTGTATCAACTGTAAAAAATATTTATGTTCAGTACCAGCAGCCTAGCTGCATGCTAAGTGGATAATTCATTAAAATTGAGTGAATAAATCAGTAAATCAATAAAAATAAAATTTGCTTCTAAAGCAAGTTCACCAGTTTTAAAACAAATTCTAAGAGATGAAGTAAACTGTAAATAATAAGGCAAATATCACTCTTTTATAAAATCCTTAGCCCTAGCTCCTACCTTTTCTGAGTATATGGACATTTGATGCATTGGATTGACCACCACAACACTGGAGCCAGCATAAGTGTGTACGAGATTAGCTCCATATCTCTGTCTCAAGGTGTGAAGGACGCTCGACTCGTTCAGGAATCTCAGGGAAGCGAGATCCTCTGCTCTGTCAAATTGAGGTGGGTTAGCCTAGAACAAGACATTCATTCATATTCACTAATTTCTTTTCTAAACAGAAAGGCAAAGAAACTCAAAACAACTTTTCTATCTTGCATAATGGTTACATTATTTCACTAAATGCACATTTAAGAAAAAGTTGTGCAATTTGTGTCAAATGAAAATTACACTCATTAATTGTCTTAGGTTTTCACATAGAAAATGTAAGTGGAAATAAAACAACACAGTGAATTCCATACAAACAGAAATCTTAACCTGTTTCCTTAGAGAGTCAATTTTGGCACAAAATTTAATATAACAGAATCTCTAAAGTACAGTAAAACTCGATTATAACTAAGTCACTGCAAAAATTAATTTTCAATAATTCATCAATTTGTTTTTATATAGGCATCAAAAATTGAATAAAATGAATTTGCAATATCGCTAAAATTTTATAATTAGACCTATATAAGGATCCATCAATTCATATAAATTCAACACACATACCTTTTCCACGTCATCCTCGTCCACCTCCAGTACATCCCCGCCGTGGTCCAGTTTGATTCGGACACGCCCCTCTGGTAAGGGGGACATGCCGTTGCCCTTGATGATACTGGCCGAGGCAAACCCTCCCTTGTGGACCAGCCATACTTTTTCTGCTTCCAGCCAAGCCTTCTCCGACTGCACTTCAGTTTCTGACCGAGCCTAAAAATGATCGTTATATTTAATTAAAAGTCATCAAGCATGTAATCAGGTTTAACTCATGATTAAGTATGTTATATAGAGCATGTACTTCTTGACAACAGCTATCATTCAGTGTAATGAACTAAATGATACACTGTTAAATATGTTACCGGTAATGGCAAATATAGTTATGGTGATTACCGAATTATAAAGAAATCTACAAACTGATGAAATATAAAGTTCATATAGTATGCCAATTTAAAGGGGATTAAAGATTAAAGAATGGGCTATTTCTTGATATTGAATGTTATAACCTTTTACAAAAACATGTATTCTATTAAATGAATATTGCATATAGATTGTATAATCTATTTTGCATATAGATACTGTTGAAATCATACAAGCATAGCAAAAATATGAATAGCATTAATGCTTTAAAAAATAAGGCTTTAATGATAATGGAAAGATTTGAAGCACTTTTAATAAATATCATCATTATTAATTAAGCTTTTTTTATATTCAGCATGAGTACAGTTGAAAACAAAATGTAGAGTTGAAAAAGTAAAATAATAAACATCTAAATTCAATATTCTTGTTCATAATAATTTCCAAAAATACACCAAGTGACCTTTCCAAGAATAATTCACCTTTCATACTGACCAGAATTTCTACAGTTTACACCTGTCTCCAACACCTGTGTCCAACAGACCAGAATCAATCCTATATCACTTACTCCACTTTTAACTAACTAAACACTAAATGTTTACAGGAACTATTGTCAATCAACATAAAGTCCAGTTTGAGTCTATACACACAATATACAGAATGTCAACTGACATATTCCATTAAAGATTAAGTTAAAAATCTAAAGAATTCATTTTTAATTGTGCATGACTTCAATATTTCAATTCTTTAAAAAGATAAATTCTAGAGTAATTAACTGCCTAACAATTTAGTCTATCAGTGCACAAAAAATTATAAAGCTAGAAATATGTAAAAGTTTGAAGAAAGCTTGGAAAGCAAACAGCTACAAATGACTACCCTTCACTGTAAAATCAATTCATGTATAGACTTCGAAAGGGTGCCACAAAAAAGATTGTCTACTATAAGCACTTTTTGGGGGTAACTTTTAAGATTAATGTACCTAATACAACTTCTTTATCAATTAAATCAACACCCCAAATCTTGTCGAGTAGGTGCAAAAATTGATTTATGAATTGCAATTGATCACCCAAGTCAATACAACGATTTGGCAGACTTCCCTCCTGTGACCATTTATAGTCACATGTAACATACACCACCAAAATACAGCCAATACATGCTAGAACCACAATGTATTATATATTTGTAACCACTTAGGTTCAATCGCATTCCAAGCACACTCCCTCAAACCACTGTTGTCAAAATTGCCAGACAAGTCAGTGATCTATGGCTAAAAAACAATGACAAATGCTGACAAAAATGTAGATCAGCTCTCCCTTTATGTACCTGGTCTTATCCACTGGGCAAAATTATTAATGTACAAACAGTAGATTACATCAATGTGGTTGTATATATATACATAGACGTATATTTGTAACATTTGTAAAAATATTCAAGGGTCCACTTTTTGGTACAGTTCATTAACTACAGGTTCTTTATATCAATTTAACCCCCCTAAATATAGGGTTCAGCCCATTTAGTTTAAATACACTATACACAGGGTATACAAATCTAAACAACCACAGAGTTTTTAAATCAACATTCTTTAAAGTTAAAAAAAAAATTACACCCTCAAGGACATTCATAGAATAGATCTAGCCCCCTCTCAATTTTAAATCTCTTTTTTTTACCTTTACACTGTCAATAATATGAGTTACTAATAGTTGACTCACCTTTGTCGATTTTATGGGACACTTTCGTTTGTGCTGGTGATGGTGCATAATTTAATTAATTAACAAATTAATCAATAATCTCCAAAGTATATATATTCTCCAAAATGTAATTTCTTCTTAAAACTGCTGCTCACAAAACATGTGATAAACTCCATGAAATAGGAAGATCAGGACACATGAAAATGCACTTAACTTTTGGTCAATTTATCAAAAAGTTCTTAATCCTACAAAGATTATGGCCAAGGCATATACTCAAAGCCATTTTTTTAACACTCTGCACTGCATGTCAGCAAATATGACAGAAATATAATTGCTTGAATTATCAAATTTCATGGTCACAGTCATAAATACACTCCTCATTCTTAATAAACCCCATTCAGTACTAATTTCGGCAAGTTAAATCCTGCTTCTCCTGTAAAAGATATATCCTCACTGTCAAATATTTTTTTTACACGCTTCTCATATTATCTATCAACACATTATGACAATGAATTCCATGAAATCTACGTCTTTCAAAACACGATATTAATAATTTTTTCCTCAATTCATTTATCAGGGAAGAAAATTAAAAGAAATTACACACCGTTATCCTGCCTGAACACATTTAAAAAAAAATTCAAGATGACAATAAATTAATCACGACCTTAACGGCACATATCTTTTGGCACACGCCAAAGGGTTTCAGTCGACACTTCAATACAAGAAAAAAGAGATTCTTGTCTCTGAACGGACAAGATTTAACAAACACTGCCCATTAATTATACTGAGGGGTGTACTGTCACTGAAACAGCACATATACAAACAAACAACACAGATGGCCTGTTAGTATATGGTCTGTATATATACATTTAAAAATACGGCCAACTACTGACAACTGGACATATACATGCGTACTAAGGAAAGGCCCCTGTGAGTCAACACTAACTTACTCTGGACAACCATGGTGCCACCTACAGCATTATCCTTGAGGTAAAAAGGCCTTCAGTATCTTATATGTATACACTGTTTATAAAGTCATTCAGTTGCATATTTACCATTGATCTGCATGTATTATAGGAGAAAGTAAACTTATCTTTTAACAGGATTAATTTAAAGTCTTCATTGTTTACATTCACTGACCTTAAGAAAACATTTTTAATTCACCTGGATTAAAAATCAAAACCATAATCTTTAATTCTTTTGAACCTGTTTAAACATTCCTTTGAGGAAGATAGGCTACTGTATTTCTAGAAATCGGAGGTTGCATTTTCTTTCTTTTAATAATGAGGTTTAAAAGGGAGAGAGGAAGGGGCTAATTATGTAATAGGTTAATGAGCAAGACATGTAGGTATATATCTTAGAACGAACATCATACATCTTATAACTTGTGTGGCCAATGAAGCTTGCCATATATTAAGAGACTGCTAACTTTTAGACCATCAGCTTATCCTAAGATAGATCTTACAAGGTGAAGTGCAGGTGCCAGGGAAACAATAAGGAATTACCAAATTTGCTGGAGGTGGCTGGAGGGGGGGGGGGGGGGGGGGAGTTCTATGCTCATATCATTAATATCTCTTAATATCAATTGAAATTTCAATAATTTAAAGAAGATAACTTATGAATCAATGCAGAGCAAAGAATTAAAAAAAGATTTTTTTTTTAAATTAAAATAAAAAGACATGCATGTACTAAAATGGAAATGGCTTAATTTAAGTAAGATAAGTTTATGATTTGCTAATAACTTGATCAATATATTCAATTACAATATTATTTGCATGGAAGTTACAAATTACTTGATGAATGTATACCGGTATATACACATTCATAAATCAAGAAATGTATCAATTTCCATTAAAAAAATCTACATAATTTAGAACATCATTCAGTCATTTCCACCAATAATTTATGACTAGAAAAAGTATGCATTCATTAAATTACTATAAGACTAAGTGCTGTCTTAAAACACATTGTGATAAATGGCATGTGCTTTGCTTAATACAGGATCCTGCAGAGCCTGAAATGCATGCACCCATAATGAAATAATGTGGTTATTGGACTGGCACTGCCCTTGGACTCCACCCCCACCAACCCTCTCGGAGAAATCCAGGACACCCCTTTCTTTCAAAATGTCCCATTCTATTTCAATTCTTTATTGTGAACAACCCTGATATTTGTATTTTTTTCTTTAAATATCCAATTTGTCTGCATGACCAGGTGCTGGTATATGACATCCAAAAATAAGAAATCAATGCCTAATTAAAAACAATGTCATCTTTTCAGAAACTTCAAAAATTCAAGTTTGGTACATAGTCTTTTAATTGATACAGTTTTTAAAAAAAGATCTACAGGTTTTGATTTGGAAATATTATTTGATCTGTAATTTATGTCACCATTAAAAAGGTAGAAAAATGTTTATCTTTTCAGTTATTTTTTTTTTTTTTTTTTTTATAATATCTGTGTTGATGAATTAGGAGTTATGAATATTAATCAATCTGAATTTGTCTGGCAATGAGAAATCAATCAGGAATTTTTTTCTCAGAAAGGCAAAAATATCAGCTAAACTGCAATATTTTAAAATCAAATTACGAATTAAATAATATGATTAAAGTATAACATGAATACAATCCTCAGAACACTTTTGCTCCATTTACCTCAATATCCATTCTTGTTCTATACTGTTGTCCTCATAACATACATCAAATATACATGGTATACTTAGCCTGACTCTTAACAACATTTCTAGTAGACAAATGGACAAATTCAACATAAAAGAAAACACACCATCAGACCACCAGGGTCCCGTCCATTTATCAACTCCTTTAACAGTGAAGGGGGCAGGTGTTAACCCTGTAGAACACCTAGAGATAACCAGTTTTTATATAAAGAGAAGGGCAAG